AAAAACCTTAATTTTTAAATTTTGTACCGAAAGCTTATCAGGATACCTCTTCATTTTGAATACTTGTTACAACATGGAGTTACTTATTATTCGTGGAATTTTATATATTATTATTATATTAACAAAAACTTACTTAAGCAACAACGGAATTAATCAAATGGGTATTGCATAAAAAATAGTGCTCAATAGTTATATTACAAGCTCGAACAGCCTCAGAGGTAACTTTATAGTACAAAACTGATAATGACCAAGAAGCTTTCTATACAAATTAATTATAATATAGCGACGCTGGAAAGCAAACACGTAGTAACCCGCAAAACCAAAATTGTTCTATAGAGCAGAAAACCTTTAATTTTTTTCGATAAATAATTCCTATAAACGTCCATGGTAACAAATTAGGTGTTCCTTAGTAAATTTATACGAAAAGAAGATATTTTTTCTTGGAAAAATATAAAGATTTTCCATTCTAAATATCCAATTTGGTTTTGCTGGTTACTACGTGTTTGCTTTCCAGCGTCGATATCTACATATATCTCATCGGATGCCATTACAACAAAAGCAGCGCTGTTGTCTGTGCCGAGTTAGATATAGATATACATGTATTTTCTTGGAACCGTAATCAGTGTCGCCAGAAGTAAGGTTAGGTACACACAGCTGCATGACAGGTTACCGCAATATATCAAATTTCTGTAGTTGACAATAAACTCTACCCTCATACCATTAAGGTTTAAAATCAAGTGGAGAAATTTGACAGATTATTACAACCTGGCATGCTCTTCACTGTACTTACATAGAATTCAACACTTTTTCATTGGCGACGCTGTCGAGTCACCGACGTGATATCCTAACGAGGCACGGCTCTCAATTAATTAATTCTGTTCCATTGGAACATCATCGGTTAGTTCGTTTATATAAAACTCTTAATTTTATATGTTAAAGTTTATTTCTGTTTATGTAACATAACTATGGAATGTAAACAATGCAGTGTTACTTTCACAAATTGTACACATTATTTACATACATAAATGGAAATAAAACTGACTTCTGCTGTTTTCGTTCAATAATTTCTAAATGTAAAATTGCAAAATATGTGACGTCACAGTAGGGAGGGGGAAAGTCTCACAACTGTGACAAGGACGGGGAGAGAGGCAAAAAATCATAAAATTCGTGTGATGTAATTAATGGATGACTCTTTATGAGTGAATAAGACTGAATTTATAATTATTACTTTACTGAATCACGAAATCGCAATTCAAACAAATCAGTACTCGATAAACTATTAATTGCGAATAACTTCCATTGCTACTGACTTGGCTAGGAAGGGTCGTTGGTTCGCACCCAGCCTGAGGCATAACATGTAAATCTGAAAAGCTAAAAGTATATCGTCGCTAGTTTGGTCGGCAGTCACATCATATGACATTTGGTTAATTTCTTTGTATCAATAATTTGATATGTGAAATTACTTGATTATGTGTTGACGCATAATTAAATTGAAAAATAAGCTGATATTTTAAGTGACCGCAAACCTATCAGAATGGAACGCGCGGAAAGAGGCGAAAGAAAGGTTTTTTTAAATTGTTTATATGAAAACACGTCAACCATCGTACACGTGCACGCACCGAATTATAATGTCGCTATCATGTGTTTGCAATATGTAAAGGAAATTTGTTTCGTCCTGCTCTAATAGATATGCGATCACCATTACAGTAATAAACATCATAACATTTAATCGAATCTGTCTTTTCCCCATTCACTTTAGCAGATCTATTTCTTGATACATTTTTTAATTATCTGATGGGACGACAAATTATATGTTTTTACAAAACTTCAACAAAATTATGCTTAATTTGTTTGGCATTTGATTCCAACCACACTAGCGACGCCTCGCGGAACAAAATCGGATAAAACCACTGTTTTTAAGATATGTTATAAATGTGTTGCCGTGACTACCAAATTCTCAAAAAAAAAAACACAATACTATTGCAACTTTTACATACAAATCTTATATTGACGGTCATAAGTGGACATGCTCCTTGGGTTCCTTTACTAAAACTACTGTGGTAGCAACACCACATGTAGTCTCTTGTGCATATTTATAATTTCTAACACATATTAAAGTATAATAATATTCATTTATTATCCTTCGTATCCTTTAGCATCGTAAGTAAGAGAAAATCAATTAGAACTTCCATGAAATACAGAAATTTTTGAATGACACACAGTATTAAAAAAAAATTGTTCAAATATCTATTCATTCATCATTGTGAAAAGAAAACCACTCTACGTAACTAAAAGATTCGAAGTAATTACCTTTAATTACTTATCACTAATCATAAAATAACCTTCCGTGTGTTTAATTCTAATACAGGATCGTGTAATATTTATAATTATATAATATTTATTATTCTCACATATTACATTCCTAACTCCGTACGTCATATTACGCAAGATTAATCTCCTAATCTAGATCCTAATCTCTGCCAAATATCGAAATAATATCAAAAAAATAAAACTCTCATAGTAAACTTCAAATGATAAATATACATTTTTAAAATAAATATATAAATATATGTAACCGATCTAATATGGCCTACCAATGTAATCAATATAATACCAAACCACTCAGAATTCTAGGAGGACGTCTGACCTACATGGGAATCACTAAGACAGAAGCTTAGTGCATTGTATTTTACACCTCAAGTTATTGTAATTAAAATAAGAGTTTTTGTAAGGTTGTAAATTTTGATAACATGTTTGATTAACATCAGTACATGTAGTGCCAAATTAGTTGGGTTACATTAATATCAATTGTTTTAGGGACTTTCAAAAGATATATTTTATGTTTGGACGCAAAGTCAGTAGCAAATGTACCAAGTTGGTTACCAGAATGATTATTATTATTGTAGGAAACTCTTCTATAGGGCCATATTCGGTCGTGCAAGATTTTTGAATCAAAAGCCGCATTTTTTATAGAAAAAAAGGACAATGAATCGTTAGAAAAATACCATTGCACTATATTATGAAACACTTGATGTGTTGGCTGTATGAATATAAATTCCTTCGTTAACTGATAATGAATCTATTCCGTGGGCAAATTTTATAATCATACCATTTCAATGCAGACTGGTTTTAGTTGTTTTTAACGTATTACGGTACATTTAAAAGGATACATTTATACGATAGGGATATTAACTAAGTAAAAAAAGAAGAAATATTTTAGTCCGTCAGTCAGGTGACATAAAAATATTAGATACGTTTTTTTTTTCATTAAATTTGACTTGTAACGTCACAACTATGTAGAAAATGTACAAAGGTGTGACGTCATGCGACATTTTAATTCAATGTACCGCCGAAATTTATTGTAAAAAATACGTGTTTAATATTCTTCAGTAACTGCCTGACGGACAAACAAACAAATCATCACTATTCTTCTGTAAAAAATAAAATATAATCATGTATGACTCAATAGGACCAGTAGTGTATATTGTATATAAATAAGAAGTAAGCAATAATTATCATTTCTTCCTCACCAATTTCAATCTTTGTTTGTCTTTAGGACACTCGTTCGAAGAAAATATTAAAATATTTTATAAAACAATCATCCATAAAATATGATAAAATTTTGTTCTTATATCCTAGAGAAACACAAAGGCACTCGCTCTTTGGCGTACTTCGCCACCTATTTTACGTATACGTTAAAAATAAACGTATACGTTTGATGAAAATTAAAATAAATACAAATCCAAAAACATAATTATTTGATTTTCACTCGCTAGTAATACTTAACAAACAATTGGACCTTGATTCACACGAAGTAAGCCAATCTTTATCAAGAAGAGGTATGTTAACATCGATTTCCCAAATTAAAAATATATTGACTAGTATAACCATTACATTTTGGTCATCAGTTGCCTGCTAAATACTGTATAAATGCAGTTTCTAAAGAGTGCTGACGTATTATGACACATATATATTCATTCGAACAACAATTTGGACGCAAAGTCAGTAGCTACGTGCAATAAATAATACTTAAGGTTTATTCGTTAGATCAAGAGATGGCGCTAATGTTTTGATTTTTTTTTATCATTATATCAATATATTTACCGCAACATTTTTGTAAGTAGAATCGACAATATTTGTGTGCACAGAAAAGAGCAAGTTTAAGCTAACGAAATATGACCAACAGCCTCAAAAATTAGACTTTAATAGAGTTTTAAAGTCTAATTTTCTTATTAAGGTAATTGTAGCTTACCTTGCGACTTTTTCACGCCTTTCAGTGCGATTACGCAGTCATCGTGTAACTTATAAAAGTGGTTCCACTGTATTAAACTATGGCGATGCAGCTGCGGAACGCTTGTACAACGTTTTGGATCTTTTTGAAAACAAGAACTTACAATTGCAGTCAAAAAAAATTCTCAAACACTTTAGACACAGAAACAATGGATTCACTTTGTTATTTAAGTTTTGTTTTAAAGTAAAAAGTACAAGAAAAGTAATGGGAAGCGCCATCTATTGACGACAAAAGACTTGACGTCCACCATTTTCAATTTCTTCAATTACGTGCACATGCGTGTGTGATTCTAAATACATAACGAGTATATATACCTTCGCTAGCAATGAGATTTCGCAAAGCCGCGACATTTATAAACGTGCAAAATTACTGTTATCTATTTAACAAGCACGCAATAGTGTATACTCGTGGCAGTATTTGTTTTATGGCTAACCATAGGATAAGAGCATTTACAACTATCAATTTTGTTTAGTGTACATTCGAGAACATTAAAACAAACCCAACCAATAAACGTGGAAGAAACAGGCATGTAGTTTTAATATATTTTTAGCGTCTTAAACTGCCTTCGATAGATCGAAAAGTGAAAATTCAATATTATCATTATGTTTATAAAATAAGAGACTGCAGTTCTCCCTGTTCATAAGGAAAGAGTAAATTTAACATTATACAATCAAATAGCAACTAAAATTTCGATATCAAAAGGTATGTGTCAACCCGTCGACAATTTTTTTAGGGTGGATACGTCGTGATGGCTCCTTCTGTTGAGCTCTTTGGTTTCTTTAGCTACGTTCGAATCGACGAGCATAGAGTTACGTTTCGTGTTGAGATCCTTCTTCCTCCTGACTACGTCCGGACTGTATGGTTCCGATACTCGCCTGTCTAAACTCGGCTGTGCGTTCGAAGTCCCTTGACCATGAAGCGAGCCTTGTCTATGCAATTGTGCCTGTTCCGGATTCGAATTCGGCAAATAAGTTTGGAACGAAGGCCGGTTCTGCGCCGATTCCAATATAGAACCTTTAGAGAAGAGTTCTTATATTAGCGAATAAAATATACTGTCACTACGCGATTTGATAGGTACGGTGAAACGTTTAAATCGGATTATTTCACTTACCTAATGTGCGAACCAGCCAAGGCGCTACTGATTGCTTCTGATTCATGGCCGCTTGCATTTCGTTTAATGCCGCGTTGAGCTGATGGCTGAGTTCCTAAAAATATACACAACTTAAGTCTATATTTTAAAAAAAAAAGCGTAAACATTTAACAATTATTGAAATAACATCATGAATATTGCAGACAGCGTTTTCGCTGGTATAGAGTTTTATTTTATGACTTTTATGGTATAATTTTCTTTTTCCAATCGAGTAAAATACTTCATACTAAAATAATGATGGGGCTCAGGCCTTCCCTATGGATAAAATCGAATCAAAAAGTATAAAGAGAGATGGGCCGTGACCCACCACGCGGACCCAGTGCGGATGATGTGATGGTGAGTGTTAACGACTGCAGATACAGCCGAGACCAAAGGGGTAACTGCCTTCCGATGCACGAAAAATCCCGAGATAATACATTTTTGCTCACCCATCCTAAAACCGGCCATTTCGAAAGTTGTTAAACAAACTTATCGCAGACTGAGCGCGTTAGAAACAGCACTATCGAGCTCCTCAAACATTCTATAAGTGTCAGTAAAGAAGACGGCGAATCCAAGAGAAAACTGACTTGTCAGGCCAAAAAAAATCTAGATCGGGCACTGCCATTAATGATTATAGTCTGTGCCCAAACAGCAGGAATATTATTATTAGTGGATAGAATATAATAAATACAAACCTGGTTGCTACACTGCGCTTGCACATGTGCCAACTTCACCTGAGCCAATTCCAACTCCAAGTCTCGCACACGTTGCTTCAAACTCGCTTCCGTGTCGTTAGTCGCCTCTTCTTTTTCTTCGTCTTTAGGTTCAGGATCTGCTAAAAATGTAAAAACTTATGACTGTCGCAATACTTGTACAAATTAGCACGACACCTATTCCGTTTCTCCGAAAACAAAATTTCGTCTATTTTACAAATGCCAGTATGACTGCAATTTTTTTTTATTTTTTATTTTTTATTTATTTATTTATTAACAACAACATTTACATCGATCATTACAGCTTATAGCCAATGCGATCTAGTAAATCTTTACAATTTTTTCTTATCTTAACTGAAGACCTTACTTTTTTATATATAAAATAAGCTTTATATAATCACATTTATCATGCAACGGAGGGAGCTACTGACATTGCCTCTGATGCGCAGATTATCTTGGCAGTTATGATTTCAACAAAATCATAAGAAAAATTTTAAATCTTCCAAATTTTCGTTCGAAGCCAAATATAATGTTCAAGCTGTCGTGTTAGTTCGTACGAGATATAAGATAAGCATATAAAATACGATTAAACTCATTTTACATGTTATTTTTTTCTTTTCAATTTAATTTTATTCAAATGGCAATAATATTATAAAGGCGAAGTTATAAAACTATTGATATTTTTCTTTAATAAATACCTTCTTTGTTTTCCTTTTGGGCCAATTTGAGACTACAATTCATACATTCCTTTATGCAGTCCTGTAAAATATAATACAATTGTTAAGCTTAACCTGTAATATACTATTTAAATCAACAGTAAAATGACTTTTCAGAGATCGAAGACGTATTCGAAATTTTGTATTGCTATTTGCACAGAGGCAATGATTTAAGGACTAATGCCCGTTTTCACTAACCTTAAACGGCATAGCTTAACTAGAAATGACTTAATATTAAGAATAGCATAAGCAGATTTGTCATTTCACCAAACCTGTAAGGTTAGGTATTGCCTTACTAAGCACTTGATTAGATAAGCAATGTTTGTCTATGATTTTGAGTGCTTCAGTTCTTCATTTTTTAAATGTATGGCCTATTTGCATTTACAAAATACCACAAAATTCCACGTTAATGGTCTTTATACGTAAAGACACAATAACAAAATATATTTTGAATTATATTTTGTTATATTATTTATACCTATACAAAATTCTGACACTTTTCTCATAATTTTCTTGATCAAATTGCTTGATCATAGGTAATGATTGAATGATGACTCACCTGAAATTGATGTAATTGTCTATCAAGGCGGGCACATATTTCCTTATAGTCATGCGCTACTAAGGCATGATGCTCGGCATCTTTCTGCGCTTCTTCCACTTTATTCTGTGCCTGTAAGCATGGTTTTCGTATTTTTCGGATATTTCGTTAGTAACATTAATCGAAGGGGCGGAGCTTAACCGGCTGCGTAGCAATGACGTCATTTAACACTAAACAAGAGTGGGGGATCGCTGCGTACAGAACGGAATATCACTTTTCTGATAGCAGCAATTTGTGACAGACGTATTTATTGGTTTAACATTTATTTAGTAAATATTGTTTGATATTTGCAATAAGTCGCATTGTTTATTGAAATGGTCCAAAATAACGGTCGCTTTAGTATTTTGTTCAAAGAACATAAACGGATTGAGATAAAACTTAGGTAGATTTTAATTTTTCTCTGATTCTGATTCAAAAGTGATTAATTGTGTATTAATCTCAGCCCAAAAGTGTGACTTAAAGACATTGAAAATTAGCATTCTATTTTTATTATAAACGAATACAAAAAGGGGTTACTGGATTTTCAATCAATAAACAGTAAAAAGAGACTAACCTCGTTCAATTGCGTTTCTAGGATTTCTTTGTCTTGTTGTAATTGTGATATTATCATTTTGAGCCTCTCCATTTCGACGTTTATCTTTTCTTTCTCAGCAGATTCTATCAATAAATAATATCAACATATCAAAATTTCATTCCGTATGTATTCAAAACTCGAAAATTAATTTATTATCTTTTATATTTCATAATAGAGCATAAAGATGCACTACAATGGACGAGTTTATCTATTACTTTAAATACCAAACAAGCACGATATAAATCAAACCAAATAGGTAGCAGTGATAAAGAAAAACTTTTAAATAAAATAAGGAAAGTAAAAACTTTTTTATATATATTTTATATGATATTTTTGTTGTGTATTAAATCGCTAATTTCTAATACAACTGTATATGAAATATATAAGAATCTTCATAGAGAACAACTATGCTCTAAATAAATATGTAACATGAGACATATAATGAGACCTTTGACGAATTTCTCGTACTCCTGTTGATATTTAGGTAGCCTCTTGACTTTGTAGCTACACGCTATTTTCACGATTTGACGCGACGATTCTTCAGCACGACACTTCTTTGGCAACGTTACTCTGTTAGACATAATGAAAATTTTTAATACTTATATCGTATATACAAAAAACGGGTTTGATTTGTTTCCTTTCCCTTAACTGTACTAATATCGTATAATAATTTCTTACCTGAAATATTTGAGTACGCCCTCGAAATCGTGCTGAACTAATTCTTTTCGTGAGCGATACAATAACGCTAGCGCCACTTGGAATAAAGTATCTATTCCTTGCAGTAAGAATACGTCCAATATATGATATACCTATAAATAAAAAGGAAAAAATATTAGATAATATTAAATGCTCATCATTGCCTATAAAAGTAGCATAGGTTTTTTTTGCTATGGAATGGAATCATGTAGGAATGAACCATGAAATTACTTCTGGAGTTATAAAAATAGGTTATGAAATATGTGGAAATAGTAACTATATAGTATTTTTTGTGTTAAAATAAATTGTAAGCATTAGAATGAGTTTTTCTACGGGTTTTTAGTATGTTGCTTTTATTCAGATCCCGATATTTCAGCCCTGTTTTTTTCGCAAAATAACTTTCGGGTTATGATAAAAATAAAATTCCAGATTTTTTGTCTGTTTATCACGGTAAACTAAACAGCATCCGCCATAGTGTGACATCACTTCGTTAGAAAAAAATATGCATTTGTCACATTAATTGTAAACATCAGCCTATTTATTTTATAAATGATTTCTAGATGGCGCTGTTCTTCTTAAATTCTGATCCTTTTATTTTATTTTAAACTAAGACAATGTGTTTATTGTTCCGAAATATTTTAGTTGCGGCTTATTTAAATTAAAATAAATAAATACTTTTGCAACTAGATTATGATACCTTATCAACAACTCCCTTAAGAGTTGTTGAAAGTGATTAAAAAACTCACCAAAGGCAGAGGGAATCTTGCTGTAAATACTGTCAGGAACCATTGTGAAGCGAACATGTGAGTCTCGACTCCTAACTCATGGAAATGGGTTCGCAGATCAGGAAGATGTTCCTAAGACAGATTATTATTATTTTTAAACATGCTTATAAACTATTCATAAATAATTAATATATGAATACTTACTTAATACTTTAATCAAATGTAAAAAAGTGTGCCAAAATTTGGTCTTTTGGTCGGCATACCTAATGAAAAGACGCAAATCGTTTTCATTTATCGACTAAGTAGTAGTCATGTCATAAGGAATCAAGTGTCATTGTGTCAAGCTTAGTTCAAAATCCCACCATCATCATCATCAGTCTATTAATGTCCCAACTGCAGGGACACAAGGTCACCCATTTTTTTGACTAGGGAAAATGGGCCATGAACCACAACGCGGGCCCAGTGCAGATTGGTGGGTATTAACTATAGCAGATGCAGGACAAAAATACGGAAGAAATATTTGATCACCTTATGACCGGCAATTACGATAGTTGCTCAACTTACTCATAACAAAACCAAACGCGATCGTCACTCTTAAAAAAATTGGAAATAATAAATAATTTATCACCTCTATCAAGCGATCCAGTTGATGCAACCTCATATAAAGTGCTTCAAAACCATCTTTATATAGGTCACGTAATCCATATCCGTACATGAGACGCACCAGAAGACAAAAGGCTTGCTCTTCGGGCATCTATAACAATAATATATGTTTTTCACATGCATATATATTCACTTTAATTTGGCCAAACAACCAAAGATTGACTAATCCACCGATTTCTACACTGTCTATACTACTCGTACATTAACCTGACCAGAAACAAAATTATCGTTACTTCCGATCGTCTAGAAGTCCTTATACTGTACCGCTTTATGTTTAACACCTTTGTAGCAGATAACACAGCAATCCGTAACACTGACGAATTCCGTAGCAAGTTATATCAAAGCTTACTCACGTGTAGCAGTAGTGAAGCGGCTAGGAAGCTCAATCCTTGGCAGTAGCCTACTTCTTGGTCGTAGACGGCGTAGGCTCGCGCCATTCGTAGCAGTGAATCTTGGCCGAGCCCACCGGCTTCCCTGAAGAAATCGTGTGCGGGAAAAGTGCGCGCAATATCCCGTTGTATTACGTTTTCGAAAGAACAATCCTAAGGAGTGAAAACATACAATAAATAATAAATATACACATATTTGTAATCCGATAATAGACGATACTAAAGACGCGTATACACATTCCGAGGCATGCCTCTTCTTGCTTCTTGCATGATTGTCTAGAAACTTGTTCACATTGTAGCATTAAATTCACGAGCCACTACCGTCTCAAATAGGAGACGTTGACGACTAATGTCGTTTTTCTACTGATTTAAATGCGAATAGCGAGCATGGTTATGTAGGTAGAGCTATTTTATGTATTTGCAATATGTAAGAAGAATATGAAATATTCCCCGAATCCCGGGATTTGTTTATTAGTAGAAAAAATAAAAGACTATTCACGCCTTAGGAAGAAATGAAAAAAAAAACATTTCCTCTCCAGCAGGTGAGTCAGGTTTAAGTTAAAGGATAGTACAATATATAAACATATAGAAACTTGATTCATCAAACGACATATATTTTTTATGTAACAATTTCGTATATTTATACAAGAATCAACAATTACTTAATTTGATTCTGAACAACACAAGAACGTATTACTATACAAATGATTTGTTCCTCAAAAAATCAAAATATTTATGATCAAACAGAACAGACTATTTGTATTTACAAAAAAATCTTCATTATAATGATCAATTTTTAAACAATAATTTATTTGTTTAAACAAATCATTGGTCTTTCATTGGTCTACTTCTTGGTCTGGTTCGTCTTCAGCATCACTAAAAGATTGGGTATGACCCGAGTTAGATATTGATAAAAAGAATTAAATTTACTAAAATCCCAGAGTATCAGTCGAAATTCCGTGGTATATCCATACTAACATTAATGTTTGCGGTCAATTAACTTTAATAACTAGTTACTCCGATAGTGGGCACAATGCAGTTATTGTCTCATGCCTCAAATTGAAACGTCGAACTATTTATCCTTATCTTCTAATAGTAAAATAAAAAATTGATTGCAGAAATTGTGAGGGCCTTTTCTAATATCACAATTTAATCTTACTCAAATGAGAATAAAACGTAAAACTCACTTTACTGATCAGTGTTCTGTACGTGTCCATTAGTTTATCGTTCTGATCTATGCCGGCCAAACGCAACCATACTTCACCACGAAGAGCTTCTGGTACACCGACACGAACTAAATGTACTAATGCTCGTGGTCTAGCTCCTGTCCAACTGTAAAAAATATCATCGCATGAGTAGCTGAGGAGGATTAATTAAAAAACGGTATGAACAAACCTTTATAAAGAGGAAAGATTTGATTGGTATGATGCCTGGGTAAAAAAAAATTTAGAGGCCATCAATTAATTACGTGATAATTTTTCAGCATTTTTTTCCCTCCCCCTTAGTGATACATGGTCATATCACACACAACAGTTACAATTACAAAGTATATCTTGCACAATCACTCGTCATGTCCAAGACTGTAATTCAGAGCTGAAATTATTATACAAAATAATCTTAAACCTGAAATATATGTGAACACTTATCTAAACTACATCAACAGTACTGGCACACCTTGCAGGCTGTCTAAACTTGTACTATCTTTTCGCGTAAAAGGCCCTCCTACACTAATGCACCTAGTAAAGTCTAAAGTCATGGCAACTTTAACAGACGTCTTTTTAATCTAGGTGTCACTGACAATCCCCTGACTGAGAGAATTCATCGGAGTAGAAGGAACAGCTGCTCACGTTAAGCTGGAATGCAACGGAGTGGACAATACTGTTGTTAGCACTGCCTCGCTCTTTTCAAGGATTAAACATTGCTATAAGAGGTGATGGTAATCCCTTGGAGACCATCATAGATGTAAAGACGCTGGCAGCGTTTCTGCCGGAGCTGGGCTGTCTGAAATAACCTCCGACACACCCCTCCACTAACAAAATGGGCGCAATTTTGCCGTCGAATTACGAAGACGCCCGTAGAAAGAAGACTCAATTGTATATTAGAAAAGAAAACACCAATATTATATAAATCTAATTTTTATTTCCTAATTTTTTGAAATTTTGTTGAAATTCTGAAACAAAAAATGTTTTTTTTTTAGATTTCATGAAACTAATTGGTCTGTTGGGATTTAAGTTGGTATCAGCCCAGCAGTCTCATTACGATATTGACGTTGTTTAGAAGCAAAGAATCGATAAATGGTCATAGCGAATAAGGGGCCTGATAGAGCATGCGGCGATTTAACATAATAACACGTATGGATATTGAGAGATGAGGAAAATTACAACAGTACCTTCTGAGAACTTGGGCCCAATTCACCAGCACATCCTCTTCACAATCTTTGGACACTTCGCCTGTGCCGCTTAGAAGCGGTTCATCTCCATCTGTAACAGTGTGATATTACAATATTGTGAACCGAAAATCTGTAACAAATCAATTTGATCGCAGATTGTTGTGAGAATAAAAATTACATATACTAAGACCATAAACTTCAAGTCTTTTTCATAGCAATACTTTCAAAAATAAAAAATCCCTATCTATTCAAAACATTCAACAGCATGTTAGGCTATATGAAACTCTCAAAGTTCACTTAATTTTAACCTTAACGTATTGAAATAGGAAATTTAAAATAATGTGGTAATAATACATGTACAATAAATAATGTCAATGTTACAGAATTCCCTTTGTAAAACATGTTATAATTTAAGTTAGTGTTTTACAAATTTCTTCTTCTTACCTATCTGCTGATTTTATTTTTATGTGTAATCTTGAGATAGACTACTGTTTTATTTTTAAAGAATATGAGATAATATCCAAAATGAATAGCTGAAAGCCATCGTAATGTCAGAGATAACGAAGGTACCACAACTCCCAGACCATACACCAGCATACCAAGTTAATTTTCTAGATAGAACAGACCGTGAATCGAATCTCGAAGTTCCGATACCTTGAAACTGGCGTGCGAAACACTCTACTAAGGAAGTTTCCTCTCGCGATGGTCGGTCTTTACCTATACAGGGTCATTAGTGCAATAGCAACCCACGCAACACTAGACAGCTAACAATATAAACATCAAAGTTTAATCACAGAGCTTTAATATAACTCAATACTTTAAACAAAAAATATATTTTAGATTTTATTGTACTGCCGTGACATATATACCGCGAGTTTAAAGTCTAAATTGACATCACCCATAAAAAAAAAATTTGAACATTCATAAGAGCTTAAATTCGTCATTAAACCTTAATTTACGTTTGTGCAACTGGGTGATGTCAATATTGAGCTACTCTTACACAGAATATATATCTATACAAAGAAAATATTTCAAAATATTACATCTAAAAAACAAGATGCACAGTTACCGACCGCTACCGGCTCAGTATAGTTTTAAAAAAAGATAGCGCACGTCCTTCCAGGTTTCATCACTATTTGCAACTGACATATTAGTAACAATGACGTTGACATTTATATAACTGCAAAAGTTTAATTTATAAATAGTTTAATTTATTAAAGTTTAATTTATAAACGATTTTTAGAGCCAAACTACTTTTTGTTCATTTTCTTTGTATTGCCAGACGATTGTTTCTTATGATTTCCGTTACCCATTACTTATCTTGAATTACTACTAAGTAGCTCAGTGGCGTAGTAGATAGCGCCGCGGTACGCGATCATAGTTGTTAAGAAACTTTCGCAAGGGTCGGTCACGGGATGGCTGACCAAAAATTATTATATCGATCTACTCCGTGTTTCGGAAGGCACGTTAACTCGTTAGTCGATAATACCCTCCAATCCACATTGGGTCAGCGTGGTCATGGCCCATTTTCCTTATAAAGAAAGCCTGGGCCTTTGCAGTGGGGACGTTAAACGGCTGATAATGATGATGACTGTACTGTCTGATTCACCTACATATTGGTGTTGTACATATAGTTATTAAGATTTGTGCAGTAAATTCAAATTGATGTTTGTATAAAAGTAAAATGTCCTTACAAGTTGGGGTTTCACAACTAACCATGTATTATCTAATTAATCCCTTTTTTGGTTTGGTTTAGAACACTTACCAGAATCCGCTTCGGAAGGAGAGGGCGGCGCGGGCGCACTGGTCAATGGCGACGGCAATAAACTAGACAGAGATAGCGGCAAATTTAAACGAGAACGATCTATTTCGCCGGACGTTTCTATACTGGCCACATCGTACTGCAACTGTCCTAATGCGTCTACAGTCTGAAAAAGAAAAAATATTTAAACTAATACCTACATACTAAATTAACTTTGGAAAAAAACGTTTTGCTTCCACATTAGTAATTTTACCCAAAGACAAATACAATGTAAAATGTTAGATAATTATATTGATTGAGTTCTTCTCAGTGTCCTCTCAGCGATGAATAAGAACTTGTGATTATATCAAAGTATTAATAAAAAAACAGCTGTCATAATAGTTTATAACAAAAGTTTTGCCAGTATCTTTAAACTTGTGTTTTTTATATTTTGTTTAATTTTTATGACGTTCAATGTCTGTGGGCTCATGTCAAAGGTACAATTAAGGTGCAGGATATTTATGAAAAAAATAACTCATGGTATAAAACTTACCTCTTTCAGATTTATGTAAAACTCTTGTACCAGAGGCTTCTTAGAATAATACCAAAATCGTTCTGTGTGTGGATACATCTTCACGGGTGTTTCAATCACTAACCTGAAACAACAAACGGAAGGTAGATAAAAATTATGGACAATTCAAGACATGGATAGGTCGCAATATCATTTTCTGTCTCGGTAAGAAAAAAATCACACAACCGGGCCATCAGGCTTACTCTTGAACACAATCTCAATGTCAATTTTAATCCAATCCGATGACGATTTCATTTTCATTCAATCATATCTGGTACTCTTGAAACATAGACTTAATATTTACTCAATGTTAATTACTTCATTAAAGAACCATGCTCAGTCATATTCAGTCGATTGTCGACTAGTGTACCACACTAGTAACTAGTGTATCCACAGATAACCTCCAACAGAAACCGCATGATAAATATTTTGTTTAAAAAAAATAAAGGTGCCAATCGGCGACGCTATTGGCTAGTACAAGGACACGTATTCCGTAGTGATGGGAACCATATCATAATGTGTTATGCCATTAAATGTATTAAATGTTACTATTACATGTAATTAAAAGTATATTTTATTAAATTTATTTTTATTTAATTCACAATTTATAGCTGTATAAACTAATTAACGGAAAGGCATCCAACGGCAAGACATCAGTGAGCGGGTACGCCTAAAATCACAAACGTTCAACCAATCTGTGAGAATAACTTTCAAAAATCTATTTTGTAACAAAGAAATACGTTTAAATAAATTATATTTAAAAATGAACAACATCACATTTTAGATATTCAAGCACAACCAATACGTGAATTTATAACCCTGATAGAAAAAAAAAACAAAGTTCCCAAAAAATACTTCAATAATTTTTTGAGGACCTTTGAATTTTATTAGTAATTTTAAAGATGTTAATATTGGCTATTAACCATGGTGTACTTTTGTGTACTGATTTGTTGCACTCAGTACAATTTTTTCCTGTAATAGTAACAGTACCCAATTAAGTGTACCCAATTAAGAGTACGAAACGTCACAATTGCAATGTCTGTCGATCACAATGGCGTTCAAGAGTAAGCATTCAGGTATGTTATTAGTAAACTAATTGTTACTGACCGCAAAGAGTCCGGTACGCCTCTGATGACGAGATCTAGTGCGAGCGACATGTAAGTAGGTGCGATGTCTCCACTCGCTGTGTTGAACGCAGCCAATGCTGACTCGCCCGCGTTCCACAACGCGCATACTGAACAACTAGACCCACCCGCTGAGCCACTCACCTAATTAAAATAAAATAAAATAAAAAATGTCTTTCTCAATTCTCATGACATTTAGAATTAAAAGTAAACTAAATTAATAAATGTTAATTAAAATAGATAATTGATTATATATTTCGATGCGATGTTTTTAAACTTGTTTATAATATATATGAATAAACTGATTAACGGATGACTTAACTTGTCGTTCACATTAAAATTTGATTTGATTAATCCGTGATGACACGAATACGCAATCTTATACAGGGTTATTTTTAATATACCAACAACCGTACTATATAGCAAACACAACTAATGACATTCGATCGTTACCACTTTTGATTATATGAGACATTTAAAATTTGATAATTAAATAAAATATAATTTAATTTATTGCTTTCACACCACGCGCAACTTAATACCAATATGTAGTTTCAAACTTAACGTCGTATTTTTTTTAATAAAACATACAAAATATGTATTTATTTCAAGACAGCACAATAAAAACCGGAAAGTTGTGTTGTTAATTATTATTTATAACATTATCTATCTAGTCCTTCTAGACAGGTTTTTTTTTAAATATCCCTGAATAATCCCTGATGAATTATACTGTTTAATATAAAAGAACTGATAGTACCCTCATTATAGATTTATTTACAATCTAAACTATTGGAAGTCCTTTCTCATGCGAGCAGTAATACAAAATTCATATATTTCGAAATGTTTACTAATAAATCCAATGCAACCTAATGTTAAAATTGCCCGCTTATTTGCAATTTATTATAACTTTTTTACAAGTTAAATGAAACTAATAACGTACCATTTCTAGCAGTCTCATGTCGGAATGTTTCACGCTCCGGCCGGGGGCGAGAAGAATCCCAAAGCATCGGTCTATGTAAAGACCACCAGTGTATGTCAGCTAAAAAGAAATATATTTATATATTATTGTTTCTACACAAACTAACAGTTGCCAAGTCACTATACAAGTTTATTTCTCAATAATCATAATTAATATGTTTGTTTTAAGGTATTCAAAAATACAAAATATTAAGACCAGCTTTACATATGGATTTTCTTTTGGCATTGGCAAAATTACATTATTTAATTGGTGTGTAATGTACATTAGTCTTCATTTCTTGTGATATTTCTGCGCTGCTTAAAGATAATATGAAAAAAAAAAACCGTGACATGTCAACTTCAAGTTTTTTTAAATAGACATTTCGAAATGTATCATATAACATACAATTTAATGGTGAACTTTAATGACAACTTAATTACTGGATTGGAGCCGTGCCAGTTAACCTATGATACTATGAACTTGACACGTAGTTTCATAATATTAAAAAGTTTCCATTACCTGTTGGTCATCTGCTTCTGGCTGAACATTGTTGGTCACTTGTCGCACGTTAATCGTCACCTGCTTATCTATGCCGGCTCGTAACTTGAAACCGAGCCTCTCTTTAGGTACATGACTGAATGTGCCCTGTGGACAAGCAAACATAAAGAATATACAAGGGGCCTTTAATTTAAATACGTATTAAAGTTTATATTCGCAATTCAATGTCACTGTAGTATGGTTTAACTTATGTGTTGCGCTTGTTCATTGAAGTTTCTCAAAAGTCTTATACGGTGTTATTAATAAACAAAGTTTAGGATTGGACTAAATTTACGCTGAGACTGCACTTAGTATTAGCCACGATTCATATTATTAAAGAGGTTTTATTAAAAGTTAAGTTAGTACGAGGTTCTACGGAAGTAATATTTACTCCTAGAAGGTTGTAGGTTTGCTTATTCTCTGTATAAAATGAATTTGGACTAATACTAAAATTGCAATTTTACCGTAAATTTACAATGACTCTAAATCTTGTTTATGAATGGTACTGTTAGTGGGTGAATGAGCAAACACTCACATGCAAATTTAAAAGACATCAAAACTATTTGAAACATTTCTGCTATCCACATACCTTAGCGTCTGTCTCTTTAATATCAACAGTGCATTCGAGTACGTGCATAAGTTGCATAGGGGGCGCTGCGGGCCCCAGGCCCTCAGTGAGCGATCCCGTCATGGACGGTGCTGCGCTTAACTCGCCCACTAGTGATGACGCCATCGACCGCGGCACTCGCTCGAAAGCCTTTGCAAAGCAACCTGTAAAATAAAAAAGATATTTTATTAAATATAATAATGTGCTTTATTACAAGGGCGTAAGATTAACATTCTTAATAATCAATCAGGTGATATACCTGATTTATAAGTATCACGAATTACCCCGATCCGAATCGCAATGTAAAGAAATATTTTAATGGTTATACACTAAATTCAAAACTAATTAGGTATTATTTTTCAAAATTGTACGCCCTTAAATTTTAAACGTCGATAATAACGAGAATTACATGTAAAATTAATTTAAACATTTTAAAAAACATGTCAGAAAAGAACACCGTTATTTTATATTAAAAATAAATTAAGTTGAGAAGATGGCTCATATGATAAATCTAATATAAATTATTAAGAATTACAATTATTTTTAACATAGATTAATTATCAATTATTGAATTGCATTCATATTTATATGAATTTAAAAAAAAAAATATTACCTATGGTTAATTTACAATACAGAATGTAGTTCGCCGTGGGCGTATATTGTTTTGATTAGAAAAATATTTATCAATCATTCCGCTTATCTATCTATTCCCTATGCTAAGTCTTTACTTCAAATAAACGTTTATAAAACTATTACATATTAAACATACCTCACACTTTATAATCCTAATATAATCCTCATTAACAATACGATAATAGTTTTTCCATAGATTCAAAATCCAATATAATTACTCTTTTAGTAATATATCACTGTTATATTTCACACTGTAAATAAATAAACAAACCGTTGACCGAACAGAAATTGTAACTTGACTAATGAACTGATAGCAAATGAAAAACAAACGCGTGCTGGAATCATCGCGATAAGATCGGCACTAAGCCGTGCTTATTCTGATTCAAACTGTCATCTGTGTTTGTGTTCGTGATACGAAACGTCGATTAATGTTTTTCCGTCATGTGATCGAATACAGGTTAAGGTCACCATATTAGTTAATCATTGCAGGATAATAATGTTAATATTCGTGGCCGCATCTTTTCTGTTGATAGTTTAGATGAATAGTAGTGAATCAGAAAATATAGTTGGTGCAACTACAGTGCATTAATATATTAAGAAATATACGAAAACATTTAATACTAGAAATAAATCAAGCAGAAAGTGCAGGCAAACACCTTAGAACACAATTAAAATGATCTTTAAATATTATTTTATAGTAAATGGTTCATTAATAACGTAAAAATAACAGTTTAGATATGGGCGATCCAAAATAAAGATACTGTCAAAAATATCGCTATCACAATAGCGTGTCAAAAAAGGTGATAGGCGTGATGAAATATATGTAAAAATATTGATTAAAGTTACAGTGATTCATTATATCGTTGTTTTGAGTCAAATTTATTGGTATTAATTATCTTATTATTATAAAGGATTACTTGATTCATGTTTTTTTTATTGACGATAAAGTATTGTGTAACAATTTTATCTACACGTATTCTACGTTGTCGAGTCGTTAAAACCTCTTTAGCCTCAGACGAAGAGCTGAAGAAGTAATAAATGCGTTACTTTACCTATACTCGTTTATGACTCAACACAATATTATTTATATTGTCACAGGAACAGTAATGTTTTATTTCACACTGACTATATTATTAGGAGACGAAACGAACTAATCAAGCCAATTCTTTGTCCCAACTAGCAGTTATTTATTTAGTCTAGTCGCTGCGCGCGCGCACTGAATTATATTAAATGGTGGGACAAACATCTGCATTGATAAGTTTGATGAATCAATTTGAACACATCATGAGTTAATATTGCGTTTAATGCTGGTCCTCGCCACGTACATACTTAGTTTAGTAAATGTTATTCAATATAATATCACGTCTATATCTAAGTAAAACAATCAGTCACTTTTGTCATAGATTATTATTTTACTTGGAATAGGGAAATTGCATTCAGGTAGCTACTTGTTAAGGGTCCATTAATAAAATAAACAACGCAATTAAATAAAATTTCTGATAAACAAACATTACTTGATCTATATAGGTAATACACGTGTTTCATGTTTAAAAGTAAGTAAATTCACTAAAACGTTTAAAAGTAAGTTCCTAAAGTAAAATCTTCGTTTGGGGCAGAATAGACTTTCCAATTCCAACGATGACAGAACATACGATTTTAATCCATAATATGTCTTGTTTCAATAAACAAAAGGTGTAAAATAACATTATATGTCAATTCCACAATCAACGTCATGTAATTTACAAAGTTTTGTCTACGACGTCTCTCTAAACTAAAATATTCATATCTTAGTAAGATAGCGTAATCTATTAATCATAACAAATGTCATTTATTTCAATCGGAACTAGGTATGGATCGAAAAAAGATCAATCACTATTCGACAACTGGCTTCACCATAAAACGTCAGTATTTATTGAAAAAAAGCGTGACATTTAAGTAGGCTCGGCCATTGTGATTCAGTTGCAAAAGTGTAAATGTATCTAAAGTGGAAAGTTTTATAAGATATGGAAAGCATAAAGTTTAACAATTTTAGTTAGATACTAGCTATATTTCCGCCAGCAGCTTCGCATGCGGGTCCCTAGGGAACTGTTTAGTGGGATAAAAAGAAGATTTTTTTTAAATCCAGGGTTAGAATTTAATTTAATTATTTTATTTGTCCAAAAAAATACATATTTCTGCATGCAAAGGAAGTAAATCATCAAGCGCACACAAAAGCCTTTTCGGGTTTATCAGTGGCGGTGGAGTTCAGATCCAAACATTATAAAGTAATTATTATTTTTTTTTCATATGAATAACAGGTAGTTGACATTGTTGACAAATAAGTAACAGTATTGACGAATAATAAAATAGCGTTATGTTAACGCTATTTTATTCAGTGACAATGCAATTGATAGAAGGTATACCAAGCAAATACATTTACTCTTACTTAGCAATAGATAAGAGCAGAAAATTTATATAATGTAATAATTATTACTTATTCATGAAAGTATTTTTTCAAATACTTTTTCTAATTACGCTTATTCGAATAATAAGATACAGATTCATCAGGCATTTCATTCAATATCGCCGGTAATAGATATTTCCAGTTTATTTTTCCATAACTGTTCGGTTGGATAAGGTTTCATATCATGACATGGATATAATTACAATGACTATGACAACATTTTAATACCCTATAAAAACTTTTACTCCCGTTTTTATCCCTTTATTTACTGTTCAGGTTCAGGATAATATATAGGCTATGGTCACTGCATATGATGTAGCTTTTCATAGGTGAAAGAATTTTTTAAATCGGTCCAGTCGTTTCGGATTCTTTTCCATACAAACAAACAATCAAATTTTTCCTCTTTATAATATTAGTATATATAGAGCGTATTCACTTACTTGATACTTGGTTGACAGCTTCGGCGATATGGCATCTGAATACATGACACCGATACACAGCGGACTCTTTGGTCTCTCCATGTGACCACGTGAAGGCGAAGCATGACGCTACCGGAGAGCCGGCCGCACCGCGGGCGTAGAATGATATACGATTGACAGCATACCGCGTCATTACACTGTTCGAATCTGCTTGGTAGAGTCTGCAAATAATGCCGATTCGTACATATAACTCTACGAATTAATGATCATGGAAGTTTAACAAAATAACATTAAACGAACCATCCAATAAAAACAGACAATGGGCCTATGAATTTTACAACGACGACCGAATGAGAATTTTACACGGATAAAAATTAGACATATAAGATACCAAATTCTTTTATTAATCTAAATTATACTTCTTGGGAAAAAATAAGACAAATAATATCCAGAAAACTAAAATTAATAAGCTCAATCAAATCAATATAAAATAATATGAATACCAATGAAAATGTCATTGGTCAAAAATAGTCTTTTCCCTTATTACCCTTTTAAATGTAACAGATATTTATAAACAGTTAAAGATATCATCTAAAACCACGGTGAGTTGTGTTATCAGAGTTTACAACTTGTTTTTATAAAATCAAACCCATTATATTACTACATATACAAACAAAAAATCGATAGATAATTACAATACTAGCCTAAAATGATTTACTATGTGTCAAAAAAGTACCGACTTAACTTTGATTTATTTTTTAATAATAACATCAACGCCATCTTTTCACAGTTAAAGTAATGAATCCGTGAAGTTCATCCTTTAAATATCTGCTCATATAGCTTTATTATGTAAGCACGCACATTCATTTAGAACGGAAGCTTAACGTAGCTGATTGTTTTGTTATTAATCAATTTATTAAGTATGGTACTATCGTTTATAAACAAATGTTAAATACTCACACAACCAATCCCTGAGAGCAGACTGGTATCGATATCGATACGGCTATACCGTCGCGACTCTCTGGCATAGAGCTGAGCTCCTTCATGATGCGCTGTATATCGTTCTCGGATTTAGGGTCAGCGATGTTCTGCGCGCCCAAGTAGCTGACGCCGCTGAATACCGTGCAGTCTTGATCTACATCCGACACTGATGAATGAGACGATTATGCAATACAGCAGTCCTACCGCGTAACTACAATGACTTGGATTTGGTTGACATCGAATTCAAACAAAATGCACTCAACGTTCAATAGGTTTCAAATGCCAGGCAAATCGAAGTCAATATAGTTATGTGAGAGGCCTGCAGAACCTCAATTCTGCCGTTCAATGTAATCGATTTATAATATTATATACTGTCAACTGTCAAATTTCAAAAATCTATATTAAGTTTTAGGGTATAAACAGTTAAGTAGAAAATTGGTTGCATATATTTTATGGTGAAGCACCATGTGCTGTTGTATGTAGTGTACAATGACGTCTTAATAAATCGATGGACACTGTTTTTGTTTTTTTTTATATTCCAGTAATGAGAATGGGTTTGATACCTGAGTAAAAAAAAGCATTTCTCTGGTTAGTTAGTCAGTCAGATAATAGATAGATACGTATTTATGCTTCAATTGATCAAGAAATTACTTAGATAATACGCATTAAAGTTGAGGGGCTCGCTACGTTAGAACAATGTAGAAAATGTACAAAGGCGTGACGTCCTGCAATATTTCACCTCAATGAACCGGCGTAATTTATTGAATACCCAAAAAATAAAAACAGGTTTTATTTACAGTATCTACATATCCTATCATTAATGGCGTAAAATTAAATGTAATAATCTTTACAATTACATAATAAATATTTCAGCTTTATAGCACAGCCAAGTATTGCATAGAAACAACGGATAATATGTATAAAGGTCAATATGTGATCAACATAATTATGTGTTTATTTTTACTAACTTTGTAGTTTAATATTTAAACAAATGTTTAATACTCACATATTTTGACATTTAATGAAATTTTAAATATTCGATCATTCAATACAACAATTAAAATTCGAATAATTAGAAACATTGTTCGTTCACAAGTTCAATATTTCTTGTCTAAAGGTGGCAAATACGGACTGAAGATCCGTCAAGCGTCTCACTGAACTATGTGATAATACGCGACGAAATTGTCAACTGTTAGATCATACTTGCCAGTTCTAACGTTTCCTAACCGATAAAACTCGACGCATCTTCCGTCAGATAATCACAGACCCTTACGCAGCGTTCTACGTTAGCAAACTAGGTACGAACGTAATTATTTAATATTTAATGTTCATACTTGCACACAGGCAGGGATCTACGACAACTTCCAACCGGGGCAGAAACTTGGTATTGCGCCCATGCATAACTGACAGGCTGATATCTCAAATATAATATGAATAATATCGAAATGAAATCTTTCAATGGCTCTTTAAAACTTTAAAAAATTTAGGTTGCCGACCGCTGCTCTAAACGGATGATTCGTCACGCGTACTAACAGAAACATCCATGAGACACTTGACAGATCTTCTAACAGATTTGCACCGACCTAACACTAAACATGAGCAGGGCAGAGCACAATATAGCAAACTAGGCAATTGTCTAGGGCGCTCGTATTTAGGCGGCAGAATTACACAATCTATCTTTTTCTAAATATTTGAACCCAAGCAGTACCTCATTAAAACAATATTTTTGAACTTGAATCCAAGTCCGCATTATATAAATGTACAAAATTCTAAACCTACCACCTACGGAGTATCTTTTTTCTGTGGCAAAATTACACTTTAAAATCAGTATACATACCTACATTAATCTTGTACATATTTTTAAGGGCGTGTTGCCTAGGGCGCCAATTTTATACATAATAAGAATTTACTAAAGGAAAATTCTCAACAAAGTTACAATTGACAATAGATTCCATTTCGGGGTATTCCAACCGTTCACAATACGATCCTATAAACTAAGCTCATCAAAACTAAACCTTGTTTACTAAACGATTCAACCTAAACTACAGCATTAACAAAAGATTGCGTTATCCACAATTTATTTACTACACGGCAACGTAACGTGTCTTCTTAACAATAGAATTACATGATCAAAATATGAATTGTTGTTAGATCTATTGGATAATTATTATAGTTCTGATTGATACGATTACATCATTGATTATATAGATTTCAATTTAAAATGAATTTGACATCTATATAAATTAGTCTCTAAATGTCTGTTCGTGAAACTCTAGAATGACTGAACCGATTTAGTTATTTTACAGTCATTACAGTTCGAAGGTCATTACATTTAGGCTACTAATATGTTTTTCCAGAACAAAGTTAGGGGGAGGGGAGAGGTAGAACAATGTATGATATGGTCGTGCCCTTTTGCTTTCTTCGGCAGCATACCATGCCCAACATGAAACGGAACTTTTTTTTCGTCCAACAAACTGGACTGTACTAGTCTTGCTAGGTCAGTTAGTTTATTACACCGATATCCTTTATTTTTTATTATTACTGTGATAGAAAATATACAGGCTGGTCCAGACAGCGACGTCAATTTTTTTTTTTTAATTGCTCCCACCTTGTGCTACCCTAAAACACCCCATGTATGTACCGCGATGTTTTGTAGTTTTCGAGATATGATTTCTTTTTATAATTTAATAGGAAATTTCGATAGTACATACTTAAAAAATAAAAACCTATTATAATCTTTTTTTCTATAACGTAATCTTCGTAAACGACTCTTTCACATGCAGATAACCTCCTTTAATTGCTGCATGTTGCGATAATTTTAATCAAAAATGAATAAATTACATTGCAGCGAGCTAGAGTTAAATTTTCAGCTTCAAATTAAACATGGTAATTGCTTCTCATCAATTTTAAGAACTTCACTAGACTCTAAGCTTTCTGACAAGTACAAAAAAGTCATAGGTAATAGTGCTATTAATTCCTGTAGTCGGCCTTCAAATGTGGCGGGGTGAAAATTTCACCAATGAAATAACTTGAATCTTATAACAATTCTATTAATATTACAAATGTGAAAGTTTCTTTGTTTGGATGTTTGTCGGTCAATCACGGCAAAACTACTGAACGGATTTTGATGAAATTTAGTATACAGATAGGGTATTAGCTGATTTAGATAATAAGATACTTTTTATCCCACTTAACATTTCCCTAGGATCACGCGGGCGAAGCCGCTGGCGAAAGCTAGTAATTTCATCAATTCAAGTAAGAAATTCCTCAAATTATCATTTCATTCATCTTTGGTGTCAGTAATTAATGTTTTAGGCACTACAATTTTAAAATTGAATTATAACATTATTGCTTAGTTGTAGAATATTGAAAAAAAAAAGTTAGAAATGGTGCGTACGAAAGGATGACCCATCCCGTTTTTGCCTGCCTCAGCACCCCCCTCTCAACGTAAATATTTATCACTTTGCTTATTGTAATCGAGTTTCCTAACTACCCAAGCAGCAAAATTATCCTATAGTACAGTTGTTATAGGCCTTCAGCACTTATAACATTCTCTTAACGGTCATAGTATTTACTACCACGCTTATAGTAGGAAGCATGGAGTCACTTGGTCCTTGTAGTATATCTGATCTTATATATCAACTTATAATCACTTATAGATCAAAATTAAGGATATATTATACGCTTAGGTGCCCTATAAAAGCATGCTGTGGGTGTAAATGTACTCGAGAGTAGATAAACTAGTAAGCTATTCTTATAACTGTTAAAATAACTCATTATAGAACTATTACAAGTAAAGTACGCCAATAAGAGTGCTAAACAAACTGGAAACCATTTGCATTTATTACTTGGTTTTGTATAGGTTTATAAATCCACTATACGCAACAATTATACGTAAAATGGATAAGTTTTATAGTGGTGTAACTTAATATTGTTATAATCACAAACCTATTATAAAGAATTTGATACAAGAATACATTGGCTTATTATGGTCCTGCAAAAGTTGTTATAATCTCAACAAAACTATTTTAATTCTGATAAATCTTTTTCCTTGCCGAAGTACTATTAACTTCTGTTATCAAATGGATCTGTATAAATAGAAACGGCTAAAAAGAAATGGTTCATACAAACGAAAAAATCCGAAAACCTATGAACAAATAATTCAGGTGTCCGGTTTTAACTTTGTCTGGCGAAGAAAGTATCGTAGAAATAGGAAATAGTTCCGTACAAAACAATTCGTGTGATAGTTTGAGACAAAACGTTTATATTAATAACTCGTATTTCAATATGGTTTATATCAATTCATCCCTTGAATTATCAAGTGAGGAATCTGTCAAAAGATGAAAGCGATATTGAAGACTATTCTTCTCGTAATTTTGAACTACATAGTGATTTTAGAAAATGGGCTGTTTTTCTAAAATCACTGGGTCTACACCCAAGAACATTATATTGAAATACGTGGTAATGCTATTGTACAAGCACAAGATGCATTCGATCAATTAATAAAATCATTGTTTCTTAATATATATCAATGCAATTTTAATGAAATCAACAACAATAGAAAGGAAAAGGTCTTTAAAATTTCAAACATAAAATATAAGCTTGCGAGTATTCTGTATGGTTCAAATATATCAAAATTTACCAGTTCAAATATACCAGAATTATATAAATATTTGAACAACAATTTTTGATAATAATTGACTGATTGGTTAATTCTATTAGTAGTTAAAAATAATTCCATTAGTAGTTGTAAATAGGTCAGAAGTTAACAAAAATAAACATAATATTGATTTTTGCTAATGAATTTTTATTCAAGGTAAATTCAAAATTTTCCCTTTTACGTCAAATTTGCTACCTTACTTTGACACAATAATTTATTCCCAAGGCCACCTTGATGTTTTCAAAGCTCGAAATCGCTTTTAGTCAAAAAGCGATCGATGTTCAAAAACACTACCTTGCTAAATGTTTATTTCTAAACAAAAATATTAAAAGAATCATGCCAGTTAGAAAAATATTTGTTGAACCCTGATTCCAAAAAAATATGGCCAAGCAACGGTTCTAATGTCTGCCCTTTTTAGACAAAGTACGCCTAAAATGGTTTTTTAATGTATTTGGAAAAACCATCTGTCAAGATGGCGACTTTTCGTTGTATGGTCTTACTGAAACCGACATTATTTCGAAATCTAACTTATTAAAAACGCTTCTTCTGAGAGGCGCGTAAAAATTTTAATAGAAAACTTGTTATACTTCACCGAAAATATACATGCGCAAGCCATTACTTATTGTTAAGTAACTCTTTACTATGATTAATATTTTGGATATTAATTAAAATTAGAAATGGATGAAAAGTTACCATTATCAATATAAATATGTGCAGCAACATTTGCCAATTCACAACACTTTGAATGGTACTGTAAGAGATTTTTTACTGCCGTATTTGGTTCCATTAAGCGCTGATAGTTAACTTCGCAGGAGCAAATAGTTCTACGTAGACTAACTATAGGGTCGTTACTGAACAAAGTAGTGTTCACCAAGTCCATTATAGATATTGAATTAGAGTAAATACGCCTGTAAAATGGGCCCTTTTCCGTGGTTATAATTGCTTACTATTCCATTATAGTCCTGATGAAATTGTGGTTCCAGAACGATTACTAGACCACATTTTGCTGCTTGGGTAGCTATGTAATAAATATGATTCGATTTGTCCAGAAATAAATTGCAAACATTAAATTCATTTATAATATGTAGTATTCCTTAACGACCAATGTATAATTAAACGCAATTCGAGCGTAATTCTGGAGTAAATGATAAAAAAATTGATGTATAATGTTAACGACATACTAGGTTGGGAAATGGTTTGATAAATACAAACAAGAATTATGAAATACCTTCATCATCACTCTCTGTAGGTTTCATATGGTCTTGTTTCTCAGTTGGCGATGGTATAGATGTGTCCGTAGACGCCGAGCCGTCCATCACTTCGTAGAACTTTGAACCGCCGACCAATCTGCATGAATCCTTAAAAAAAAGAAAGAAAAATGACCAACTGATACATTGACAATATTCATATTCTTTTGTAATAAAAATAATTGCACTATAATTCATTAAAAACATATCTCGAAAGTAAAAGGTTAAATAAAATTATCTCTGGTTTAGAGAAAAGGTGTTTTGAAACAAGAAAAAGCCTCAGCAGGTAATTTAATAATATTACACTATTCATGCAAAACATACCACTTTAATTGAAGGAAGGCATTTGGTTGATTAAAAAAGTACATAATTGTAACACTATCGAAATCTATTCAGAGTTAAAATGAATCAATTAGTGACGTTGCTTACATTTTTTTTGAATACAATATAAAGTACATTTTGAGGTTTGAATCCAACGTCTTTCGAAGAGGACCAATGATCACTAGTACATTTTACCGCACAACCTATATCTTTAGACGCTGTATGCCCACTGCGAACTTCAAGGGGTGGAACCCCTAACATTTGGAAATGTCAAATATCAACGAACTTATGAATATAACATTTACGTTTCTATATAAATTCTTAAAACAAAGTTTCATTTGTAAGATCTTATCGAATCATCTTAATTCCATAAAGTCATAATTGTAAGACTAATGAGACGTCTTAAGTGATAAAACGCAAGAAGTAATAGATCGTTTCATTTTAAAAACGTTACCACTTTTTTTTGAAACGAGAAAACTTGAGGATAATGTTTTAGTACAATAATGGTATCACAATATGTTGTTATATATAAGTATTTTCATTGAGCTCATTTGGAATTTAACTTACTTTTTTAATTGTTAACAAAATCAATGTTTTGCTTAAGCTTCCTCGTACGTAACACACTTCAAAGATCATTTAAGGTCCCAGGTAAGAATAGAATATTTAATAGTTTAAATTGTGGATGTTAGCAATCAGCTGTTATCAGGTTCGAATAAGGTCAAACAATTGTGTAATAAATAAGATTACAATACCATATAGCAAGTATAGTAGCGCGATAGGTATATTGATGGATGAGTAATAATCACACATATTATTGCGGAATCTGTCATACTAACCAGATAAAATAAAATATTCTGAGGAGCATGACACAGTGATGTGTCCGCTGGTATGATTGTGAAAGTTAAACGATTTTCACAGAGGTCGGTTCACAGATTGATGACCAAAAGTTTGCTAGGACAACCTCGTTGTCTCATAGCATGGGTTTAGTTCAGAATGTAGCAAGATTAAAAATGGAAAAAAAATCAGTAACAACAATATAAAAACACAGAACACCACCTTTCTACGTTCTGTGATAAAAACTGTTTCATCCCGAAACGATTAGATCAAAATAGTATTGTTCGGATGACACTACAATATTAATCGGCTAGGTATGATATTCTGTAAAAAGACAGCCTCGAACTCGACATTGAGCACAGGACAGTTACAGCAGAGAAATTCAACGAGACAAAACCTGTATTATCTTTTCAAGCAATCCCTTTTTTATGTCATTTGAAAGATATTCACGAACTTCGGGCCATACCTATTTTTATTGCCAAGTTGTAATATTAAAATATTTCAACAAAGTAACGAGTTTATATCGTTATTCTTTTATATCCAAATGGAAGTACTACCATACAACCATAAAAAAAAAATTGTGTTGAATAAATAAACATTAAAAACTAGATGTCCTTATGAGTAATAAATAGACAACCTCATGTTAATGTGAAAATAAATACTGGACTTTATGAGCTAGTTTCATTATTTTATTCGTCATTTACGTACACGACAATACGGGGATTGTCGTTTAGAATGGGCCAGTAAAAAAATAAGAAATTGGGATAAAAAAAAAGTTATTCCATTTAGTACGGCAGACAGACAGTGAAAAAATATTAGATACGTATTTTATTTTAATTTCAATTCAACGAGTAATGGCTTCAATAATGGGCATTAAAGTTGACGTCACAACTTTGTAGAAAATATACAAAGGTGTAAAGTCATGCGACATTGGAAATCAATGTATCACCGTTATTTAGTTACCAGACAGTCAGACAAACAAAAATAAGGCATCATTCTCATTGAAACTTTTTGGTCAAGACATTAATGGTATGTCCTATCCATTAGTCCACGCTGTGTACAAAATTTCATTAATATTCCAGTAGTTTAACAGCCAGTTGCACAAACGGCCATTAAAATTTTCATTAGTTTAAAGCTACATTACCCATACAAATTTGACATTCATTAGAGCTTAAAGGCGTTTTTAAACCTTTATGGGCGTTTGTGCAACGCTCCGTAAGCGTGTTAACGTAACAGACTCACAGACAGAGATACATTCGCGTTTAAAACATTAGTATGGATAACATACCTTAAAGAATATCCCGTGCGTCATTTTATCAAAGTGAAACAGTCTCAGAAAATTAAATATAACACTGACACAGACAGAAATTTACATTCGTATCAACACTATTACACAACATTTATTGCATTAATTGGATGTATAAAATAAAAAAATTGTTACAGAACACAATCACTCACTACCAGTAAAGGATAACTATTGAATGCTAAAAGTAGCACATTTTAATATTATCGTGACATGAGTCATGCTCATTGGCCCCTGTTCAAGTTTATCCTGTTTATAACCGCAAACCATTTCTTTTCCACCATTATCATTAGCCTATTAACGCCATTGGGGCCTTCTCTGAAGATGGAATCGAATAGGTAGAGTGGGCCATGATCCACAACGCGAGCCCAGTATGTATTGGTGGGTCTTAACTCAGAATGTAGCCAGTTTCAACGGCTTCACGTGCTTTCCGAAAGAACTCGAGTCGATAAATTTTTCGTCACCCATCCTATGACCGGCACTTGTAATAGTGGCTTAGTTTCCGCATCCCAGATCGACCTTGCTAATAACAGCGCCATCGAGCTCTTTATAAATCTTAAAGATTATATTTATTTTTAATAGGTATTAAGATTTATAAAAAATACTTAAGGGCATGAAAATTTGTATGAAATATCGTTACTAAAAGTGCTAGGAGTTTCAAATTTTACATGCGGATTCTTTTTTAGACGTAGGTGCTGGAATTTTCGAAATTCGACCCCTTAGGTCAAATTAGGGGATGAAAGTTTCTATGGAATTTTCTCATTTGTGGACTTAAAACTAGACCATGCGGTCGAAGTCGCGGGAAGCTAGTTCTGAAATACGACTCCAAATAAATGCATTTTTCGGTAAATTATGATGTAACGACACTGCCTCTGGAGCACAAATAATCATAAAGGAGAAGATTTTAACAGAATTTATTATAAGAAAGATTCGAAATTTTCCGAATATCCGTTCGAAGACAAAAAGAATAGACCCTCAGGTGTCATCATATAAATTTGTAAGAGTTAAATGATTATTTGTTGGAAACGTTATCTTACTTCAAGGGTTTGCATAAAGGGGAAACTAGTTTAATAATATTTACATCAACAACATTATAAGGAAGATTAAAAATGCATATCAATAATGTTTTGTATAAATTAACATTTACTGTAAATCATATTTGATCATCATAATTTAAGTGTTATTCTGTCTTATTGTATGTTCTTTTTTTTAATTTTTTTTTATATTCTAATCTTGCAAGCGTTTTGGATGGAAACATCTGTTAGCTTTTAGGACTCGTTTGTAATAAATAAATAAAAAGAAAGATGTAGTCTATAAAATTACTAAATGTCAACGCCCGCGCAAAGACGAAGCGAATTATTATTACAATATAAACCATACTTAAGTGTTTTTGAATTGCTATCATATTTTAAATAGTTTAAACGAACCTTACCTTCATACTCACAACGTACGATATCATATTTACTTCTTGACTAGTTCCCTTATATAAATAGACCTAATTTACTAACATCTAAATAATATCATATGACCGAACCACACTATCACTGATTTCATAATTAATACACATGTTTAAATCATTCAGAATCTGAAGAAAAGAACACCTAACTTATCAATATTCAAATGTATTGGTTTCAAAATGTAAAATTAGTGTAACTTCAATTAAATTTGCACTCAATAAGCGAGCACTCGCCGCGCCCATCCAATACTCAAGATTGTTACGGAGCTAAATACAATGGGTTAAACCTAAACAAGCCAAGGCAATTACAGAGTCGCTGTCCGCAAAGGTTCATTGTAAGACTTGGATTACACTGGACACAGTAGAGGCACAGAACTCCAGCAAGACAATCAAAGCATTGAAGAGATTTAGACTAACTGATCACATCGAAGAGGTCACAGTGGCGTCACTAAGGTCGAGAGTGAATTACGTGCACTAAACACGATTTTAAAATCGCTTTCGTTGGTGGAAGCGTTTCCACAACTGAATATATTTAGTATTATAGCATTATCATTAAGTCATTGGGTGTGTGAAGGATATCCGGGCAGAAATATAAAGACAAACAGTACATAGATAAAAAAAGATTAGATTTAAAATCTTTGAAATATTTCCTTATAAACAAATGCTTTTAAGAGTAAATAAGTTAACTTGGCGTTTTCTATACTTTGCTGGAAGTAATTGGCTTATGTAACAGAGGTGTTATGCCTTTGTTTTATCAAAGATGTCAAAACAATTTCCTGATACAAGTCAACCGCCAAAGAAATATGACGATAATAATATTTAGGGAGTCTACAATTTCGAGTTCACTTTATAAATCAGTACAAAACAAAACGAGATCAGAATACAAAAATTTAAAAAGGCATGTGTATTTTAAACTGGCATTATACCCAGTAGACTCAGAAAAAAAATCTCATCTTGTTTCAAAAAGTTGAAAATGTCACGTATTCACAAACAGTGCCAATAATAAACAAGTTTTAGCGTCAGTCAATTTACTCTAAAATTGCAATTTTAGTACAAATCCAAATTCATATCATACAGAGAATAAGCAAACCTATTTACCTTCTAGGAGTAATTATTACTCCCGTAGAACCTCGTATTAGGTTATTCTTTGCTAAGTCTTTGTTGAATAATATGAATTTTGACTAAAACTAAGTGCAGTCTCAGCGTATATATACTCCAACGTTGTTTATTAATAACGTACATGTCTTCAAATGATTTGATACCGTTATAAATCCGCCTGACTAGTAGAGAATGCCTAGGTATTAAATCCACCGCACATTTACTGTGCAATTAAACTTAAATAAATAAATTACAAAAGAAACAGATCCTGGCATTTGGACACGAGGTTTCGTGCCACTTATTATTATTATTTGTTATTATAAGGGGCTATGCAGTTCCCTGAGGAAATGTAGTCACTGCGACCTTGAAGATCTATTGTGACTCGCCGCCATAGCTATAGTAACTGCTTTAGCCTGATAGAATCAAAAGGTTTGTAATATTCCTGACTTTTAGAGATTTTAAATCTTCTGGGCTGATTATATGTCGTCCCAGATGTATGCTTCGTTTGTGGATCAGTGGTCCACATTCACACAGATGTTTAGGTGTTTCCTGTTTGCAATATCTGCAAATGTCAATGTCACTTAGTTTCATGTTAAATAGGTGTCTGTTTAGTTTGCAGTGTCCAGATAAGATTCGTACAGGTGTACTTATATTTGCTATGTTTAGCTTCAAGAGCTTTTCAGCTAGTTTTTGCGAGTGACCTCCAATTAGGGATTTAGCGTGATTTAATAAGGCTGTTTTTGGCAGTATTTTTTGAATCCCTTTACAGGTCATTCTTTAGAATTTTCATCACAAGGTTTTTTGGGATACCACAAAAGGGCTCTGGTCCTATTGGTAGTCCCTGTGCTCCAGCCTTTGCTAATTCATCCACTTTTTCGTTGCCAATGATGCCCGAGTGTCCTGCTACCCAGTTAAGAATAATCTTATCCTTTTGCCCCAGTTCATTCAATCTGTCAAAACAGTCCTTTACCAGTTTCGAACTTATCACGCTCGGATATGGCATTAAGTGCTGCTTGACTGTCAGAGTATATATAAATGGTCTGATTTCTTTAGTTTTGTTTTGTTTTGTACCATTATTTAACAACATGATCAGATTACGACCGCAGTGGCAATTTTTATCATAACACTACCCTGCTAGCAACTAAGGTTACCAATAAAAAAAAATTACATTTACTGTCGCATTAGATTCACACTCAACAATTCTTCATGCTAAGAGTTGAAACCATTCGTTTTTCGTCTTGGATAAAGTATTGTGTCCTCAAACGTCATTCTTTTTTGCCGCCTTCAAAAACGAAAAGGAGGATATTATGCGTGAAAAGGACCTAAGAATAGCACATGCAAAATTGTATTCAAATACTTTGTCTTAATGGTTACTTTGCTACCTAAGGGAACTCTTTTTGCACATGTAACCTGTGTCCTGCTGTGAAAAAGCTATGGAGGTTTAAAAAAAGTGTTTACAGACTACCTGCCACAGATAAAAGGAAGGAATCTCGTAGTTTAAATGCGCTATTCATCATTTACAAGAACAATTAGACACAACTACATCATTGTTGATTTTAAGGTTTCAAATTGCGCGTACACAACTCGTACTATGCATGATGGTTCTATTTTAACTCAGATTCTTTTAATTCCAAGATTATCATGAAAATTTAATCTATTATTGACCACGATCTCCGCATATTTTCATATCAATAAATAACGTTAATTACTTATAAAAATAAATGAATGTTTTATTGTTACCACGATACAAAAAAGACATAATAAGGATATCGTAGGTCCAATAGGGGTCCAGGGGTCGTTTTTATTTCATAGATATACATGGAATATATCAAAAAAATATATAATAAGTTAAAAAATAATAATTTCAAAATTTCCCGCGAAAACGTCACTTCTGTCATGGCGTCGCTACGACGTCACGGAATTCAGAAATAAATATCGTTCTATGTATGCATAAGGTTGAATTTTCTCAGTTCTGATATGAGTAGGAAGAGCGTGACGTCACGCGCTGTTTGCGGTCACATGACAACGAGCATAAAATATTTATTTTTATTCATAATAAGTTTAAGCAATATTATAAATAAAATAAGCATAAAAATATGATTATCGGTAATAGTATATTAAACGCTACCAAAAAAGAAACAATATATATTTATTTTCGTTTACCGTCTACAGCTGCTAATGGACAGCTTTGTATGAGAAAGGTTGCTGGAAATATGAAATATGTACACTACGAAATATATAAAAAAAACGAACACACTCAAGGTGCCCAGGTACCATCTTGGCATCTCAGAGGAGGCAAGTCGGGCGATTGACATGAGTGGAAAAAAATAGGGCGGCGTTCCTAAATTTTCTTACAAATCTTATAAAAATTACAATGCTACAATATATGCTCTAAAATAAATGTATATATTTCAAAATTTTATTACATGCTACTTTTTTTACTCACAATTTAAAAGAATACAATAGTTATTCTATTGGTGTTCGTTTATCATTATTATTTTTGCCCGAAGCGGACAAATAACCGGATCATGCCCCGAGGCCTAATCGTCTAATTTTTAAATCTATCGTGATCCCTTTCAATTTGACATTTTAAAGATTTTCACGAAGTTCTCTCCACTACTATTTAACATGTGATAGGTTTTGCGATCGTGACCTTTCTCAAAGATATGGAATTAAATATATCGACTAAGCTTAGCGACAAATGCTTGTAAGCTATTGAGAAGCATCAAGCAAAAGAGTTGAATGATAAGTGCAATCTATCTTTCGATAGGTCTTATTGTTTCTTGATCATTCAAATCATCATTCGTTCCGAATGGATTGTAACTTAAAAATTAAATAGTTCTAGAAATCGCTATACTTTAAAAAAGGGATTGCCATATATTTAAAATTAGACAATTAGCGTACTGGACACTAAGTATCAGTTATCTTATCACAAGTAATTAACGTAGCTACATTGTTGCTATTCTTCGAAAATACTGATTTGAATGGTCCACTTTGACGGTACAACAAAGAACAAACCAAAAAACGATAACAGTTTTCAGTTTCTTTATATTTAAGAACCGTTAAGTTGACCTCTAATAGTATAAGGTCACAACCAATTAACTAAGTTTGTGGAGGCAACCATAACACAAGTCACAAGGTAATAAGGACAAACTGTGTCAAATTAAGCCGACACCGAAAGAGAACAATAAACCCGATTCCAGAGGAGTGTTGAATTAAACCAATTTGTCGCGGGAATTGGCCTCAAATCTCCAACAGATTACGCTTACTCTTGGCGTAGTCAAGCGACTTCGTAATATTTAATTCGTAATATTTACATATTTACACATGCTAATTCGTAATATTTAATTTATATCGTTAATTTTCTTTGATTATAAATATAAATAATTAATAAACAACTTCACATAAATTGCTCAGATTCCAAGATAAGCAGCTAAAACCTCCGTATTATCACAGTACTGAGATAACGAAATTACCACAACACCCAAACCCGAAACAATATACAAAAGTACATTTTCTACATTGACGCGACCAGGAATCGAATCCAGAACTAAAGATGCTGGCGTGAAAAGCATTTCCATTAGGACGCATTTATATGAACCGCACGGTTAAATAGTAAAGAAGCAATGTTGTTCTAGCCTAGTTGAAAGTAGAAAGGATAGTTGATAGTTGAAAATTACATCAAACATAATTGTGATATTTAATTAAACGAAATCCAAAATATCAAGTCACTTCGGTGGAAAAAAACGCAAACTGATTAGGAAGTTAACTGATAAAAAAACATTTGCCAGTATTAAAATCTATAGTTTTTCGAATATCGATTATAAGAAGCATGTGTTATGCATTTTCAGATATATTTAAAAGTACAAGTAATTATAACATTTTTAAGAGAATAAAAGTAACAGAAATTGATTAAGTTTGCATTGAAATCTAATCAACCATAAAATATGTTTTTAATTTATATAACTTGGTTGATGTGGTGTTTACTAATACATAATTAATTGACTGGATCATAAATATATAGATTTTAAATTACCTATGTAATTAATGAAATATAATTTCATTCAAAATGTTGTAATATAGCTTTTGAAAAAGTAATTCTAATAACAAATTATAGACAACATTATATTTGCTCAGCTCCCAGCTCAAATAAGTAACTAACTATCGCACATGTATGGGAATCTAAAACAACAAAGACACCACATCATCCAGACCAGAGACAATATAGGGAAGTCCATTTCTGACCCGACCGGGAATCGAACCGCGATGACGAGATGAGATGACAACAAATTATACAGGAAAAAAATTATTATTAGTGCACGATTTTGTTAAGTATGTAATGGGATTTAATTACATTATACAACTTTTACTAAGGGAGCAGCACTGAATTCACGAAGAAAAATATCAGCTTTTTCATACTGTTGGCGATTGTATTATAGTATTACAATTTGTATGAAACAGTTGACTATGTTATCGTGAATTCGATGTTGCACCCATAGTAAAAGTTGTTCAGTATATTTAACTTATCCAACCCAAGAAGTCCTGGCATATAATACTATTATATACAAAAGAACCGTGGTAAACCCCCAGGTATGTTAGAAATATAGTAAGTAAATGCAGAGTAGCATTGTGTTAATAAACACATTTTTTAAATGTATTTCGATGTTAGCAGAAACAAACAAAGAATTGGTGTACAATCAAGTTTGGTACAGAATTAGACAGCAGACAGTTGATCTGTCCGCCAATCAGATCAGCTTCAATTTAATATATGGTAAAGCACCAGGATTCAAAATAATCCAATTGTTTGATAAATATAAAAAAGGCTGGTCTTTTTTTCCTTTTCTATATTATATATGTACTAAAAAATTAATGATTTAGTAAAGTACATAGTTGTTTAAAACAAACACTATCTATTAATTCATTTGTTTTAATCAATGATCTTTTCAAATATCTAGTGATGACTATAGAATTTTAAATAATAATTTTTTTCAATATATATCATGAATAAAAATCATTATACTTGTGATATATATCATCACATACATATTGTCAAACCCTGCACCATACTACTACTTGTTACTTATCTTTTAAAAATTGAACAATACATTAATATTAAATGAAATCTTATCAACCTTAATAGTGCATTTAACATAATTCGTTACTAAATTTGCCACACTCCATAAGCTGCCCTATCAACCATATTATCTCTGGTTACACACAACTATATTAAAAACACCTTAAACATAAATAAAACTTTTAATTACCTCTTGCTCTTTGACAGGGTTCATCTGGATATTGTCACCATCAACTTCAGCCATTCCGGTGTCTTGATCACTCTCCAGTTCATAAATTACATTAAAGAGATCTAGACCTTCAGGTACGTTAGATTCAATATTTGCTTCAGGTCTTATTATAAGTTCTTGGTCTATGAGCTGACTTCGTGTTATGCGAAGAGATCCTTGTAAAGACTCCGAAATAGCCTAAAAAATATAATTTTGAGAATATGTATATTGACCATCAAAAAGTTATTGAATTCAATAAAAGAGCTCTTATCATTTAATTTGGAAAATTACTAGTAACATTTAAAGCCTGGAACGGATTCTGATTGTGATATTAACTTCCACTAGTTACACAATACAACAAATTTTAAAATGAAGCTTCAGATTTAGAAATACTCTGTCTACTAAATGTCACTTTCCTCAGGTCGAGAGTGAGATAAATATGGGCGTACCTAAGAAAAGTGACATCAAGGTGTACACAAAACATACTCAAGTTCAACATGCTACACAGGCTGCTGGCCATGCTTCAATGTATTTGAGTCCAACATATTGCCTTGGGAAAAAGCTAAATCCCTAATTCATAGAAAAAATCCCCTCTTCAATGTGTAAGAAAATAAAGAGGACCTTCCGACATTTATTCAAATAGGCACTCATGATATGTTAACTAATCATCTAAACAATTTAAGTACATCAAAAAATTCAACCACATTAATATTAATTGTTTATTGTGGCTATGAAACTGGTATTTTATGACTGTTTATTTCACCCAGTAATATTTAAATCTGCAGTTCTAAAGTATATTTTGTCCAACTAAATGGTTTAACTAATTAGTGGTTAAGTATAATCTTGACTCGACTGTCTGTCAACAGTTTCACTATAAATGTATATATATATTTATATATATTAACAATGATATATATACACTTTTTTTTTTCATCCATTAAAAATTTAAATATGTAGAAAACGAAAATACAAGAGTCAAAATAAAGCTCAAAATATTGTCTCTTTTTTATAAAATTCACTGGTAAAACTTAGGATTTACTGGAAAACCTTAATATTAACCATCTTTCAGGCTTTTACAGAACACATACATCAGTATTATTTTAGTGGTATATTTTTAACAGATTAAGTTGATAATTGAATGGAAAAATCTGCCTTTTAATATAAATGCTGTTGAATGTACTAGTTACATAAACAAAAAAATATTCCAGTAATCATTGAACTAAAATACCATGTATTAAGTCAACACAAACAATGAATTTGGGTCTTCAAAATTATTATTATTTTTAATATTAATCATTATGCAAGTAGTAGTCTTGAGCCCAGAAGAATACCAATGGGAAACTTGGAGAGCCAGTATATTTAGGTTACGTTTAACCAAATAAGGACGGGAGTGAGTGACTACAACCACTACCTTCATAAATAGGGGGAACAAGGCTTCCCGTGATTGTAGGGCCTAGAATCAGACTATCTCACACATGGTAGAAGAGTGTTCCAGAAAACGGTTTCCCAGAGGAGTGAAAGAGTTACTGATGCTGACCACAGAGGTGAAAGATTGGCTATTCAAAGTATATAAAATAATACTATAAATCAATAATCAATAGGAAAATTGTATTTATCAGAAAAAAACATACGAAATCATAAATAATAATATAAGTAGCTATATTTATAACTTAATATATAATTAAGAGGTCTTTACAATAGACCCAATCTTGTATCTAAGTAATTATTGTTATTTTTATAAAATTAATGTATGTACTAAAATTTTCAGTAAGTATTTTTTTTAAGAAACAGGTTTTTGTTAAATAGTGAGTTAATTGTTCTAACAACTTTGGAATGTGGTATTACTCAAAATTGTTAATCAATTACATAAACAAAACAATACATAATTTAGAATACTTTGTTGGTAGGAAATCGGACTCGGAATTGTAAATCAAGAAGTAAAAGAGAAATGAAAAAAATGTAAACTTACCTCAGACAAGATGTCCTCCAAATCACAACAGTCATTGGTTGATAACACTGGCGTAGGACTTGGAGTCCGCGATCGATCCGGAAAAAAAACTACATCTACCGGCTTTAACACCTCTTTTGTTAGGATTTCATTGAACTCCATCACTATATGCTGAAAGATACACAAATGTGTCTGTAAAGTCCACTCAAAATTAACCTTTGACGGGTTAAAATTACAAAAAGAAACAACGTTAATCTTACCCATCGATAATTAGGTTCTCTTACGAGAACAATACATTATAAACATTAATTTTTACCCGAAAACCAAGCAAAATGCAAGTCTGGAAGTGAAAAACTGACTTTATAAACGTCGATACCTTCAAACAATCAAGTAGGTATTTATTATACTTATACATACCTATCAATAAACCTAGGTATATACCTATAGATTGAAACAAAACGTCAAATGAAAATTCCGTTTCACGTCTTTAAAGTTACAGTTTTAAACATCCAAAAATAAAGTTATTTTCATAATCACTTACTATTTTGTAGTATCGTGGTATTTTACTGATGGACGCTAGGCGTCCCCGCTATGTCCGCTGCAAATGTTTGTATTATATGAAATTTTTTGCAATGCACTTAGACCAAGACTTCATTATCCAAATACTTCTTAATAGAAACATTATTACTAAGGTATTAAGGTTTCTTTTCGCGTACTAGGTGATTCTTTTCTATAAAAAAAAGCACGTTTCGTTTCACGTTTTGTAATAATAAAGCAAGAAACCAAAAAGTAAATTTACCACCAAAATCTTCGTATTCACCGGCTAATATTAAGGTTATATGAGTTTGTCTGCTGGTACATACATACATGTCGAACTAACATAACATACATCTCGCGCTTCACATGCGCCATGAATACATACATATATTACATTAAAAATAACTACAATATAGACAATAGGCACAATAATAAATCTATGCGTGTATATAGATGAAAAGCTTTGATATCGTAGATAATGTAAATGAATGTGATTAGTTTCTGCTCTTGCGTTACATATTTATTTTACTATATTTATATAATCGACGTAGGCAGAATATATTCAAATATGGCTGTATGGATAAAATCCCTTTTAGTTATAAATAAAGAAAAACAACGAAATGTCACTGACGGCGTCCGTTTGAAATTTTGTTTTGTATTTAAAATTTTGTTAAAATTTTATTGTTTTATGCTTTCAAAAAAAAAACGATAATGGAATATTCTGTTAATGAAGATGAAGCTAATCAACCTCTTCACTCGCCACCACGACGTAGAAGGTCTACTTTTTTCGAAAGAAGGGAATCTTTCGGTGAGCCTTTACGTATAATTATTTACTATGATAAACATCGCATACACTCGAAAACATTAAATTTGGTAATTATATGTACGCTACAGTATCTGTTGGATTTAGCACAGCAGCAGTGCAGTGAATATTGAACGGTGCTTTTATCTGAGCAAGAGCTGTTTACACTATCTACTCAACAAAACTGTTTCAATTTGATACTATTATGTATGAGATTGTTCTAATAAGTCTGTAAAGTCTTCTTTACATTACTTTGTTGCACTATATCTAACATTTTGTGATTCCAGCACCACAGACATTTTCTGACAATGTTGATCTAAATGTCCCAGAAAAAAATATTGAAAACGAAAGACAAAGTCAGGAGCTCTTGAGGTGAGAGTGTAGACTACTTATTCTTTTTGTTATTGTAATTTTAATTATGGCTAATATATTCAAATGCTTTTTATTTTAGATATTATGACAAGCTGTTGGTTGAAAAAGAGCAATGGAAAAAGGAAGTAAACACCAGGAGAAATAAATATCATGATTCGCGACAGTAAGTTGATATTCAATTCATTATATTCACAATGTTTCAATGAAGAAATTAACAGTTGTTTGTTTTGCTTACAGGCAATATCAAATAGCTATGAAGTCTTCCAGCAGGTCTAGAATATCATACTCTGCATTGTCAAATGAAGATATAGAATTTTTGAAAGCCAAACCGAATATTTCAAAACTTGTTGAAAGTCAGACAAAGCTACACAAGTCAGTAAAAGAGACAATGGCATTGTGCCGTCGTGCTAATGAACTTGACGATGTTATTCTAAGGTACAGCGAAGATAAAGTCAACAAGATAACAGACTATATACTAGAAAACAGCACAGTTGAATCATTGGACGAAAATCATATGCAGTGAATGAAAATAGTAATTTGTTACACTAGCTTTCCGCCAGTGACTTCATCTACGTTGTACCATATTATACAAACAAACCTTCCTATTAAATCACTCTAACCTAAATACTAACAAAAACATTAATATGCGTGAAGCTTAAAAGATCTCAGCATACTAACAGTGGGAAGAGACTTTATTTTATGCTATGAAAATATTGTTTATATTTTTTGTAAATAAATAAAAATACAAAGTATATTATTACTCTTGTATTTTACTATGAGGAAGTATTACAAAAACATTAGTTCCCGAAATCAAACTAGATGTCGATAAGATACTTTCTTGATTTCTCCATGACAATCCCTTACGGTTTTCTTTCATGTATAATAGTAAATTAATTTTCAAAACTCAGAAAACAACTTATACTTTGTTTATACTTTTTTGTATTAGTATTGATATTTAAGGTTCGAACTTTGCAATTTTCAGTTTTTTTTATATTTTATTAAAAGGAACATAAAGGACTATTTTTGGTCTATTTGTTTCCTGACTATAGCAAAATAAACTTTTGCTAGAGTCGCCATCTAGTGAGGCGCATTTTAGTGCTTTCTCTTTTTTCTTAAAATACTTCCTAATTTTGCAATCACAATGATATACTGTGTATATTATTTTACTAGTGGACGCCCGCGACTTCGTCCGCGTGGAAGTCGGTATCCCGTGGGAGTGAGAAGTTTTCCCAGTAAAAAGTACCCTATGTGTTATTCTGATGTATAACCTATATTGCTGTAAAGTTTTATCCAAATCCGTCCAGTAGTTTTTTCGTGAAAGAGTAACAAACATCCATACATCCATACTTACAAACTTTCGCCTTTATAATATTAAAATAGGAATATTTGGTGAAAAATCATTCAAAATTCACTACTCTGTTACCCAGGTTGGGACTTAATCCCACAACTACCCTGAAAGTAAACAATATTATGTATTTAAGAGATTGATATGAAGGGAAATAATATAAAAATCTTACATTAATTAAAGAGGCGGGTTTTGGATCAACTAATAATATTTTTAGAAATAAGTGTGCCTGTTAATATTAATATTGCCAAATTTTTCTTAATATAATTATACTTTATATCTTAAAATGAATGCTGTTTTCATGTATGTCAAAATTTTGTAAATATTTGTATAATTTAACATGTTTGTACTTTGTACATATTATAATAGTGTAAATATTTTGCAATAAAACTAACAGTAGGATAAAATGTATTATTTATTACATATTATACTTTCCACAATCAGACCAATGGAAAATTATAGTAAATGATGCAGATATCTTTGCTTATGCATACAACCAGTGGCGTAGCTACTAAGGGGCTAGGCGGGGCAGTGCCCCGGGGCCCTCAAGCTCAGGGGGCCCTCGAATCTTTACCAGAAAATCTCAATCGACCTCAACTTTTGAAAATTTCTCCCATTTTTAAAATAAATATGACACGTGACAACTCGAGTTTAATTATGGCAACTCAGTTGTGAGAAATTCCAAAGTTATAAAAAGTGAATTCCCCTAAATTATTTCTGTGGGTTGACAGTTTTATTAATGTTTTCATCAATTTGTCGGATATCAATATCTGCATATTATTATTTATCGATATGCCTTTTTGTGATTCGCGATTGTGAACTTCGAGTCAAGATTTTTTTAGCAAGTATGTCAATAAATTTTTTGTACTGGTCCATATAAAAGTTCAATTTTATTTGATTATACTACGTATACATAGTTACGTCTATAGATTTCGGCTACTCACTATATAACTCAAAATACCGTGAAAAATACAAGTCACATGCGGAAGGGGGCCGCTTAATTACGTGATGTTTTTTGAAACCGTCAAATGTGGTAACACTAGCGGCGATAAAATGTTTGCCGGGGATTCCCCAACGACGTCTTGTATCGTATCATTACGTTTCGCTTTCCTTTTACTTGTAACGTTGTCAGTGAACAGTGAGTACCTACTTGAGTACAATCTTACATAAATATTGCATAAATAAATTAGAAAACTAATATTATGGACAAAAAAAAAAGAAACCCAGTGGTGCATTTAAAAGCAAACAACGCCAAGAAAGAGAAGAAAGTAAACAAAAATTGACCAAAATTGACAAGTTTTTTAGTCAGCCTTCTGCAAGTACTTCTGGACAAAATATTTTTATTGATAAATTTTGTAAATAGCTTGCATGGCCATAGGTTAAATAACAGTAAGCTGGTGCAACGTATCTATGAATAAATAAATCTAAATATATATAACTCAAAGGTGACTGACTAACATAGTAATCTATCAACGCACAGCTCAAACCACTGGACGGATCGGGCTAAAATTTGGCATACAGGTAGATATTATGACGTAGGGATCCACTAAGAAAGGATTTTGATTAATTCTTCCCCCAAGGGGATAACAAAGGGGATGAAAGTTTGTATGAAACTGTCAATTTTAAACCGATCGGACTTAGACTTTGTATGCATAAAGCTACTATGACGTAGGCATCCCCTAAGAAAGGATTTGATAAATTCCACCCCTAAGAAGATAAAATAGGGGATGAAACATTATTTCAGGTTTTTTTAAACGATATATTGAATAAATATATATTGTTAGAAATGCTGCTCAGAGTTACTATAATACGCGGACGAAGTCGCGAGCATAAGCTAGTATATAATAAACCCTTGAATCTTTTCTATTTCGTTTTATTGCCTAGTTATTGGGTAAGTACCTATAAAAATAATTGTAATTAATGTTGTTAGTGTTTAATAGTTTTATTACCTGCCCATGCACGAAAAAGACCTGATGATAAAGTTGCTTAGCATTTTTAAAGTACTTTTATATTAAAAGATTTTACTTCAAAAAATCTTACCAGTTTTGATAGCAGTGGGCCCCATTTTTTATTTGCCCCAGGGCCCTGGGTTACCTAGCTACGCCATTGCATACAACAAACATAGAAAGTGACGAGATGCATTATTGCCCTAGATTGGTGGACATAGACGACCTCCGTAGCCGAATGGTTTACTCGCTGGTTTTAGGGTGTTGTCATCTCTAAGTCTCTGGTTCGAGTCCAAGTCGGGTCAATCGGCCTTCAAACAGAAAGGACGTTTCAGTTGCGTTTCAGTATTGCCTCGGGGTCTGGGTGTTGTGGTGCTTTTGTAGTTGTAAGCGACGCGAGTATTTAAATGTTTTTTTTTTAATATTTATAACATAGAGGATTGATCGAATGACCTCTCGGGCTTTTCTTTTTGTTTTTTAGTTTGTCATTTTCAATGCTCTTTTTCAAGTGTTTAAATTTTGCCCTTCAATAAACTAACGTCGTTTTCTTCTGTATTTCGGACTTTTTTACTGCAAGACCAGCGTTGTCTACAAAGTGGTCCTTCGAGCCGGATCTTTCAATATTTCACACGCCGCCGCGTAGCAGAATAATGGTCAAACTCGTAGTACCATACGGAAAGAAAGTCACACCAAGAACGACGTCGACTTTCAGCCACAAATGGAAAATTATGGTGCTAGTAACATGAAGGTCGAAAATAAAACAGTTTCAATTCAATCCTCGCTAAAACTTCAAAAGCGAAAAGCAAATCGTCCGCAATTTTGGCCCCAAAAAAGAAACTTTTATTAGAAGCTGCGAAGGACAAAACTCGTATAGAGATTGACCTCATTAACAAAAAGTTGGCGGCAGATCTAGCTGCTACTGATGATAATTACAGTCCAAACTCATCGGAGTGCAATGGTCAAAGTGACGGTCAGGATATTTAGGAATAGCTTGAGCGCAATCATAATGAGCTGGAGAAACACGGAGCTAACAAACCTGGAACAATAAAAGGCTCAGCGTTTCCCTCGCCGCATGTCGACGGCACTAATGGCCCAGTTCAGCAATTGGTCAGCGCACTAAAAGATTTAGTCACCACTTCTGCATCCACTAGTTAGAACGCTAATTTGCTTAGCCGCATTAGAACAACGAGAGAGCCCCCTGTTTTTACTAGTGACCCTATAGAGTGGCTGTCATTTAAAAATGCTTATGAAGAGTCTACAGCTATATGTAACTTTAGTCAAAAAGAAAACCTGTGGCGATTGATTGCCTTCGAGATCCAGCTAAAGAAGCAGTCTCCGCTTTGTTGATAAGCACATCGGCGCCTGATATAGTGATGTCTACGCTTGAACTACTATTTGGCAATCCAGAAATAATTATTTCAAGTATATTACACGATTTGAAGAAATTGAATACATTGCCACAAGAATATCATAAAAACATAGTTCTATAAAAATAAAGAATTTTTGTGTTTTCTGTGCATGAGCTTCAGCACGAAGAGTATCTACTGGGCATTGATGTGGTAAACATGCTACTAGCTAAATTACCCATAGTTTTATTGTCGAAGTGGGCAGACTTCAGTTATCCACTTATAGCTAAACGTGAGAAACCTAGACTCGATATTTTGTCAGATTTTTTAACTATGGAAGCTCTTAAAACGGTAACATGTAGTGCAAACTTAATAAACTTTCGGTGGGACAATAAGTTCAGATATAATACAAATAACTCTGGGTGTACTCAAACTGTTTTATCACAAAGTGATAAAAAAGAACAAAATGAAAACTGACGTTTTTGTCGTATCTCTAAACATATCTCAGCTGAGTGCAAAAAATTTAAAAAAGCACTACGTAAGGACCGATGGTTTTTTGTGAAACGTGCCGGCTTATGCTATAAATGTTTATTAACTTGTCATGATAGACAAACGTGTCCCGCTGCTGTGTGTGACGTCAACGAGTGCGGCGAACCTCACCACCGTTTATTGCATTACGATTCCTCTACGCGTCAAAACAATAATAATCGCGTGGTACCAGCATAGACAAAGTTAACGGCAATACCAGAGACCGAAACAAATATTCAAAATGAATCAGTTACCCCTATCAATGCAAACAATAGTTCAGTGCTACTCAAAGTATTACCCATAAACGCTGTTCATCTGGGAGTCTGTACAGTGTGCGATATATTTCTAATGTTAATTAATTTATCGGACACCGTCGCCTGAACATTGGGGTTTCTATTAAATTGGATCAGTCACACCGGACACCTGAGTGAATTCGAATTCGGGTTTAGATTTTTACAGAATCGTAGGGCTGAAGACAACTTGTATGCTATTGGCAACGTTTTTTCAGCGATATATGTATAGTATTTTTCATGTAATATTTTTAAATGTAGCACCCTCAAAAACAGTATTTTGGTAATTATATATTTTCTTAGATTTAAAAATAACTTGGTTCTGAAAGCTCAACAATCCTTGATAGTAGCAAATATGTATTTATTTTACCAAGCACAACCTTTTTAAAGCAGGTTCGACCCCTTGTTTAATTATAATTTAAAGGGCTAAACAACGGTATTAGAAATAAACAAGATTAACCATTAAATAACAATTTATTGTAAGATTTCATTATAAATTCATACATTTCATTACAAACAAACAATTAAATTAACAAAAATGGAATTGAATAATTTCATTAATAACAGTAACTTATTTTTAAAAGCAATTTCATTGTTTACATTGTATACAATGTGACGCTAAAATTTCAGTTTAAAATATTAAAGGATTGATTGTTTTTATTAATCGACATGTTATTATTATTAGGCGTACAGCCAATGTTATCATCTTCAATCTTACCATAAACTTGTGATGCAGTCACAGTTGTCAGAGCGGGATGGCACCACACACGTATATAGCGGTGTCTTAATCTGACAACGGAGTTTGCATTACAAGAGGTAGAATTGTCGAAACATCCTTTGGAAATTGTAAAAAACAAAGATAATATGTTTCATAAATTCTAGCCCAAATTAATTATTCAAATAAGTATACAAAATACACCACCATACAAAAATTCAAGTACTTCACATAGATCTTACAATTATTATAAACCTATATAAGAGCCGTTTAAATTATATTTTATAATATTGTGTAAAATTTTCAACTATTCGTATTAAAACAAAATGTAATTAATCATTGGTACTATACTCAATACTGAATTCTTCACATAGAACCATATCACATTGTATTGATTCGTGATAAACTAACCAGTTGTATAAAAGCAGATAAGTACAATGCAATGAGATGTGGTTCTGTAGCACATAAATAAATATCATTGCTCAAAAAAAAATAATGTAATGTCTCTAGTGTCGACAAAGCATGTATACTTTAGCTGCGATTAGTAATTCTTTTTCCACTTGATGTTGCTGTGATAAATAGCTGTTAAGCACTTTTTACACTTCACACACCTTTAATATACACTTCAAATATGCTTAAAAGAGTTTTTTAATGTAAAAGACCAACAGTTAAGAGATTCATTGAATTTAAAATTGGTGGATTTATCAATTATTTTCAATCATCAATACATAACATTTCATTAGTTTCCGATTTTTCGCAATGAAACAAAATAGATTTTTAAGACCATTATATACCTGAAATTGATAGCGCTGAACATTTTTCAGTACCAAATCTTTTCATATTTCAACATATATAAAGACGATAATGGATTGGTAGTGAAAAATGCTCTGCACAGCGCATCATCAGCAAAGCAATTCCTTAAAAACCCGAACCCGAATTCGAATTCACTCAGGTGTCCGATTCACTTTGAAAGCTTAGTTTAATTTAGTGTGGAAATTCCATTAATTCCATTTTTTGTATAAAAAAAAAATACAAAAAGATGCTTGATTAATTCCTGTCATTTCGAACTCAATTTACTTATGCCAAGAAACGTTAATACCAATTAAAGGTTAAGCGGATGTCGCTTTTCTTTTTCGAAGTGAATCGGACACCTGAATGAATTCCAATTCGGGTTCGGATTTTTACAAAATCACTCTGCAGATGTTGATTTTATTTTCAGAGAATATATAAGATAAGGTTTTTTTTTAAATTAATTATTATCTGACTACACAAAAAAAGGATGCATATAAAACAGGAACTTCGAAATTTTTAATACAGTGTTATTTTTTACCAAAACTCAACTTAAATGTCTTGTTTGGAAACTTCTCCTAGCTTGTATTTTCTTCTCTTTAGATGTTTTATATTCGCGACGACACGGACTGTTCCTTAAGTCTAGGATTGTATTTATTTTATCCACTATTTCCCTAGCCATATCATGTTCACACTCAAAGTCATATATTTTATACACAGTGTTTGGATGAAAAAAACTGGCTCCACCTACAAAGAAAATAGTGTAAGATTAAATTTATAAGTATAGTTCGGTCGCACAACAGAATTTCGTACGTTGATCTTTGTTCCTATTGATAAACATTTTAGATTCAATTTACTAAGACAAAATAGAGAAGTCTAGATGCATATGCATCTAAACAATTTTGTCACATATGTGCGAGCGAAATAGCAATAAGAGATGTGTAATGTCCGGTCATTGTACGAAATTCTCTCTATTCGGCGACTGTGCTATTTTTACTTACACCAAAATTATCAGGACAATAATTATAAATATTTTATTGAAATAATCGGCGAAGCTCGACAGCGCAGTAGTTAACGAGTCTGCGATGCGGAAGTTAAGCAACTTTGTCAAGGGCCAGTCATAATATGGGTGACCAAAAATGTTTTACTCAAACGCCTCTGTACTTCGGAAGGCACGTTAAACCATTAGACCAGACTACATCAGCAGTCGTATCACCCACCAATCCATATTGCGCCCGCGTGGTGGTTCATAGTGCATTCATCCAACTTGATTTCCTTTTTTAAATTACCTAGTGATATTGAAAGAATATTCTTAATAGTTAGAATAAATATTAATAAAGATGTGTTTGAATTTAGAATGTGACTTTGTTATGGCAATTGTCAAATATGTTTACATATATTATATAGTTACCTATTTCTAATTTTTTAATAAAATTAAATTATATATTTAACTCTTATGAGTCTCTTATGGTGTTAGGATTATTCCTAATACCGATGTTAGGGTTAAGAGTTCAGAATATAACCAACTGGACATGCCCGACAAAATTTACTTGTTTATATTTGTGATTATCTCTTGAAGAAACGTGCCGAACGCCACATTGATTGTGAAATTATGAAGAAAGATACAATGCCCACTGTGAAAATCCACAACTTTTCTTCAGAAGCGCGATATATGAAATACGGGGAATACAAAAAAGATACCAACTAAAATTTATTAATTGTACCACAAGAAGAGTTTGTACTATAATACATCGAGAAGATGGACGCCATTGTTCGCAGTTGTTTTAGTAAAGAAAACGTTAACTGTTGAATAGCGGAATTAATAAAAAGGAAATCGATCAGATCCCTTTTAACGCCCCTGTTCCCCGATAGTTTATTAAAAAAACTATTTTTTAAAATAAAGTGTTCAAAACGTTTAGTAACAGACGAAAATACTTTTCAGTGTGTATATATACATATATAACAAGATAATATAATAACAATAAATATCTTTTAAAAATAATATAATATTGTTCTATCACTAGTTTTATTAAGAAGGCAACCCTAACGCTCCAATGCAGCGTAGGTATTAATATCTAGAATTCGCTCAAGTTTCGGTACAGTATTATTCTGTGTTAAAATCAGCGGCTTCATCACTAAAGAATAATTTTCTTACAATAATAAATGGTATCCTCACCACATATACTTATGTGCAACATACATACTTTTGTTTAATATTTACCTGAATTATTTGGATCGCCATAGTAATTACTATTTGTAGGTGAGTAGACTATGCGGAATGTAGTTTTATTTGCTCTTGCTTCAAGTATTTGACACCACGCAACCGAATCAATATTGAGTCTAAAGTATTTTGATCGTGACTGGAAAATATTGATTATATGAGCAGTGACATGACGCGGTTTAAGACAGTTTGGAAGTTAAAACGTTTATATAGTTAAATAGCTTAAAATTATCTTATATTCTTATAGTTAAGTAGAAATAAAACTAAACTAATATTAAGGTCGGATCACATTCCATCTAGGAAATTTTTATTTATGATGAAAAAAGCAACCTCGCCTAATGGCGACGTATGTACACAGATCGAGGATGTTACTCATCTCCCGATAGAATGTGAATGGAACAAAACAGAGAGTTGTTTTTTAACAAATTTAAAGTTAATAAGTTGGACATAGGAATCATTCAAAGTACACCGAGTAACCCTATTTCGGATATCACCCTGTGCCTATGTAGTTTGGTAGAGCAATGCCTTCACAAATCTACTCAGATAGAAAACTTAATAGTAAGTTTTTTTTTGTATCGATGGGGCTGTCGTGTTTTAAAGACAAAAGCCCCAAAAAAAAATCTTATATTTAAAGAACCCAAGGTCAGGAATAGCTATTTGCTAGAACGAGCAAAACACAGTGGGTGGATAGCATAGAAAAAACAACACAATTCTCGATGTGATAGACAAATTCACACACGCTATCTTTAATTCTCGAAGATTTTCTTAACATTTTTTCAACTTCATATAAAAGCTACAGATTGATTTAACCTTATGAAATTAACTACTGTACATGCGACTCTTACCCAAAATTGATGTTTATGTGCAACCAAGGGCTCCACTTCAATCCTTTCGAGTGATATACCTAATTGAACTAAAGTGTTAGTCCGCACTTTACGTAAAAGGTGCACCCTGTATGTTTTATACTGTGGCGCATCAGTTGCATTTAAATGTGATTGTATCTTGTCTAATTCTGATTCAGCTACTTTACGTTCTGGAACATGAGACATAAATCTAAAGCTGTTGCAAAGAAGAGTTCATGTCACTTTATATTATAACTTTAATTTGAAAGGCAATAGGGATGATGACTAATTTTTGTTTGTTTGTCTGTCAGGTAGAGTGTTAAAAAATATTAAACACGTATTTTTTTATTTTTTTCGTAATCATAATATTACGGCGTTACATGGAGTTGAAATTTCGCATGACGTCACGTTAGGGTACGTTTTCTACTCAACTGTGACGTAGCGAGCCCCCACTCCTCAACTTTAAAGCCTGTTATCTAAGCTATTTCTTGTTAAATTGAAATTAAAAAAAATACGTATCTAATATTTTTCTATTATCTGACTGCCGGACTAAATAGAATAGCATTTTTTTTTACCCAGTCATCATCCCTATTCACATGGTGATTAATAATTATTTGTGACAAGACTGTAATAATAATTCAAGACACCATCAAATGAAGGTAAAGAATGGATTTTTGAAAGATTTTCATATTAACTTCTAGCATATCTTAGGGTCGGTGCATATCTGACCGAGGATGCGTCGCGTGTTGTCAGTAGTGGAATGTCAGAACTGACAAACACGTGATATGAAATTCAACTTAATTCTATGGATGTTCTGTTGCTTTATAACTTTCGTGAGACGCTTGACAGATCTTCCGTTAGATTTGCACCAATCCTTAGAGCGCATAAACTCTCGTACGGTCACCGCGCGGTGGCCTCGTGTCTATGTCTATTATAGCAAATCATTAATGACTAGAATATTCAAATTCTTCGCCATAATTAGCAACATGCAGTCACGGCGAATAAAACGCGTTGCAAATGCGTTAGACTACGCGAAATCTTTTTGGCGGTTGAAGCGCTGGAACTAGTAGAACTCTATTGACTATGTCAAAACACTATTCTTCTAACTACAAAATCATGTCTAAGGTAATTTTCACCTAAACAGCTTGCTAATGATGTGTCAGTACTGTTATTCTATTGGTCACTGGGCTATCAGGATACAAGCAGTTTTGAGGTTTGAAATCAGTTAGATAAATATGATACTTATTTTAAATTACAATCAACAATTTTGTCTCATGTGATGACTATCTTAATTATTAAATGTACCTTGATTCACTGCATTTATGGCTTTTCTAACTGCTTCTGATGTGGCACTTCCTCCAGTGTGTTGTCTAGATGGATTCTGATGACTCTGACCAGATTCTAAAGCTTTCGGAAACACCTCCAGCATGCCTTCTTCAGGTATTGACAGAGGTGCATGAGCAAACACATTTTTGTTCTTTAAATCCACTAATCCAAGGCAGGTGAAGCCAAATTTGGAACATGGTTCATTAATATCAAGGCAAGGGAATGCCCAATCTACTTCTCCATCATCCTCAGCTATACAAAGTCCATAACTATGCACAGACCCAAGAGTGATTTCAGGGTGTTCAATGCTGAAATTATTTTAAAACAAAAATACATATGTATACACCATCCCTGATGATGATTACCCAATATGGTAAAACAATATGGTAAAACAAGAAGGAAGATATTATTGATTTGCTTATATAAAAGTAAAAAAAGATCAGAAGCAGTAGTGTGAAATACTTCTTTGCCATCTTTATCATGAAAATTAAAAACAGACCAATTATTATAACAATTGTACAATAATAATAAAAATCCTATAATGGCATTTTCTAATCTGTGATCTGAACCCCCTGGATTTCTGCAAGTATATGCCTGGGGGTCCATTTTAAACCCTGAAAAATTGTGTTACACTTTATTCATGCCATCTCACAGGACAGCAGTGATTTAGAGACTTTTTTGCTTACAAAACTACTCAGTAATAAGAACCACTTTAGGATTTATTGTTGCAATAAAACCATTAACATTTTTTTTAAAATAAAAGTAAGTGGTTTTTTATTTGATTCTTTTAATCTTGTTTGATATTCTAGAGCTCGATCGGTTAGAAAAGGTCTGTAAATGCTGCTTTTAAGAAACAAAAATAATATATTTAGAGAAATTAACAATTTGTTAAGAGTATACTAATTACTAAATACATTATGTATTATCCTTTTTAGTTATTAAATTAGGTACATAACACAGTATATAAAAATAAATCTTCGATGACAATTATTTAATTATTCAACATTTATTATTGTTGAATAACTAAAATATGCACATGGTGATATAAGAGTAAACAAGATATGATTTGATCACCTGTATTTGTAGCATGTAAAGCCTATTAAATCTTTAATCTTGGCACTGGCAATCACACAGACAACAAGAGGGTAGTTTTGATGCTTTTCTGGTAGCATTGTCATGAATATCTTGAACGATTTCGTCGGAAGCCCCATTTGAGCTGTACCATCAAACTTTGCATATTCTAAGTATTGTCGGTGCGGAAGGTCTGGACACTTTTCCATTTGTTCTGCTAGCAATGACTTCTTCTTTTCTGGCTTCTTTACTTCTGATCTCGTAAATATTTCAGCAATCTGTTCAGTACTGAGTTGTGGAGATGAATCATCCCACTTAACAACTTTTATTTTAGCTGCCTTTTTTAAAGCTTGTTCCTTTTTGTCAAGCCATTGTGCTGTATTAGATCGTTGCCTAAAAATATTAGTACTTTTACTATTTATATTTTTTTGTACTTACTAAACTAGACACTAAGTAACAAACCTTCCACCAAATTCCTCATAACGTAGATAGCTGCTACCATATTCATCTTCACTGTCCTCCATGTCTGGATATGGATCGAATTGAGTTATTATCTCTTTTTCTTCTTCATCAGATGTATCACCCATTTCTTCTTTGACTAAAGATATAAATAATAAATTAAAAGTCATAATCAATAGTTAAATTGTAGATTATTATTAAACAAAATACCTTTACTGGTACTTGGCTGATTTAGTTTGCTTTCTCTTATCCTCTTTTTATCTTCTAAAGCTTTATTTTGGAATAATTTCGAAAAGTCTTCGCCAGCCATCACAATTTCACATAGGCCTGTGTCATCTGTTGCAATGAATGCTTCTCTAATATTTTTAAGTAACCAAATTTTATTATCGTACGTAGCCATATTTATGTTATAGTTTTTCTTAAAAAATAATTAAATTCGATACGTTTTCTGTTTTTCTTTTCCGCTAAACTTTGCATCTATTTTTGCGACATTGACAGTTTTAAACACACCACAGAATATATACTTAGAAGGAGACAAACAATAGTCACATCTTTCGTCCAAAGACTAAAATAGAATTTTGGTGGTTGATGGTGTTTCATCGGAAATTCAACTTCAGGGTCTGATACATCCGAAATTATTGTTCTTCTTCTTCTTCTTCTTTTATTAATGGCTTATCTGCGAATTTCGCACAATTCTGCCAATGTGAAGTGAATAAATTAATTTCTACATGTAAAATGAAATGAAATGTTTTGCTCAGTTTACATTATTTTTATCCATCGTCATTATTATTCTTCAAAAATAATGAATCTTGACTGATATTTTTTTAATTTTATAATCTATATAGCGTCCAATGTGGTAGCAGAGTGACGTCACCGATTAAAAAAAATATAAAATCAAGTAATGAGGAAGTATTAAAAAAAAACATTAGTTCCCGAAATCAAACTAGATGTCGCTATGCTACGTTCTTGATTTCTCCATGACAACCTTTCCGATTTTCTTTCATGTTTAAAAGTAAATTAGTTTTCAAAACTCGGTATATAACTCATATTCTATTTGTACTTTCTCTTATTTGTATTGATATCTAAGTTTCGAATTTTTCAAATTGAACTTTTTAATATGTTAGTTAAAAGGTACAGAAACGACTGTCTTTGGTCCATTCGTTTCCTGCAAAAATCAACTTTTGCTAGAGTCGCCATCTAGTGGAGGAGCTTTTTTAATGCTTTCGTTTTTTATTAAATACTTCCTCATTATCAATGATATTAAGAGCCCTATTACAAAGTTGCACTCTGTGAGTCTAGGTATTTGAAGATTCACGACCACGTGTCTGGGTCTTTCATCGGAAGGTAATTCGCGCGTTTCAGTGAACAAAATACTGTAATTTGATCGTAAGGTAAAGGGTTATAGCCGTAGAATAGTTCACTATTTAAACGATTGTCTTCTTAAGTTATGACGCCAACTTTGTATATTGCTGCTGAGGAGACCCTGATGCTAGGAAGATACTCTTTACCGATGAAAAAAATTTTACTGTCGAAGAAAAGTTCAAACGACAATACAATAAAGTGTATGCTATAAGTAGCAAGGATGAGTTTCTGCATGGAATGTCACGCGCACTCATAATGCGGTGATGATACGGTGATGGTATGGTGGGATGGTATTCGTATAAAGGTGTCACCCCGCCCCAGATAGCAATTTAACTTGTTTCTGACTTGCAACAAGTTTGATACATCAAAACAGAAAACTTGCTTCAAGTCTGCCATGACAACTGCAGCAACTTGCAGCAAGTTTAAATCAAACTTTCTTGTTTCAGTGTGATAAACTTGCACTATCTTTGACGTATCAAAGGTAGTGCATGTGTACCTGGTAAAATTATTATTACTACTACCGTAGTAGTCCGCTATATTATACTACTCTTTGCTGTATAATCTGTGGGTTTGGTCTTTGTGGTTATCATCACAGATTATATAGGTTGTCATAGTAACAAAACAAATCAAAACTTACTATTAGAAAATTTATCATTAATAAAAGACTAAATTATACAATAGTTTAAACAGAAAAGAACAACTGATCGTCCGGGCAATTTAGTCTAATTTGTAGCTTCGGTGTTGGACATACGTAGGTAATTCTAGGGTTTAATAAGAAGAGGTTATTTTAAGGTAAACAATTTAAAATGAAATAATCCTTGTAAATTAGTTTAATTACTACAATTTTACACCTGTAGTACACTTCTATAATGTAATGACATTAAAACAGCCCTGAATTAGTATTTTTTTATTTAGATGTGGTACAACAGAATTGGCACATATATGTTCTATCATATGTTGCTTTAAATAGGGTTCGTTGGCAATTTGTACACTGCAGAAGGATTACTACTTTATTGATCAATTTTTTATTCACAACACTGTATTATAACATTTTGGAAAATACAATTTCGTACAGTTCAAAATGTTACAAGTTATTCAAATAGTCTCTAGCATCTGGGACAGTAGAATTTTAGGTTTTATTTTTATATGACAATAGCTTTCTACCTGTTAATTTAATCTCTTTAGAGGTTGAAATTTAGAAAACATCCATTTAAATTGATATTAGTGTAAAGTTTTTATATAATACTTTATTTATTGAAAATCAAAACAAAATGTAATTGATATATCAAATATCTTTTTTTTACAAAATACTGTAATTTCCAGTTGCTAACATACAGCTCCTTAAGTCTTGAGCGCAATCATAGTATGATCTATATGGTGGAGATAAGGTGGTATCATACAATTTTAGGACTTCAATGAATTTTTTGATTGCTTCCCCATATTTGCCTTCCTCCATGGCAGCTCGTCCAAGTCGGTACAACATCTCAGTGTCCTTAAACAAAATGATAAATAATAAAAAATATTGATCCACATTAATGTTTTAAATGTGTTTCCTTACAAGTAATGTTTACTATAAAAATCATGGTGTTTTGATTTCTTTTAGATTACACTTCAAGGCAGCAGTAATTTAATTTTCCTGCAATGGCTGATGAAGATGATGGTATGTAATTTATATATTTTCTTATATTGGATGATCCTTTGAGTAATACAAATGAGCGCAAAATTTGATTGATACATGATACATGCACTAGTTTTAATATTTTAAAAAATCTGACCTATATACCTAAAGAAAATTGGTGGTCCAGAATACAACAAAAGCTAAATATGAAGATCATTTTTCGCTTTATGGCCACAAGAGAAAAAAAACGAAAAGAAGTCCTGAACAAGTTTTTTTTTTTTGTTTTATTTTCATCTGCAATCAGCTTATTAGACTTTTAGCAAATTTGTTCAGTGTCAAAGTCTTGAACAAGTGGTAGGAAAAAATATTTTGGATTGAAAAGTAGAAAGTTCGAAAAAAGAATTTATCATCTTCATCATATTTATTACCACTTGGACTCTGGCATTCTATTGTTAATACAATGATTGTTGAATGATGATTTGGTAGTTAAGTTGCATTATTAAAATTTTTAGTTATTGAAGAAGAAACTGAGGTAGCAGGAAGTCGCAGAGAAAGTGAAACTACAATCAGCCCCGAGACAGAGAAACCTCTTGCACCTCCAAAATATGAAGTGAGACCGGGACTTGGTGAGAAGTAGGTATTTTTGATATTATTATGAATGTAACTAGCTTTTTTGTCAGATTGGTGGATCTATTCTGTGCAAGCGAAAACTCTGGATGCGCCACATTAGTTAAATTTTTCTGGGTCATCAACAGCCCTTTGACATCCCCACTGCAGGGGCTCGGGCCTTCCTTATGGACGGTTAAGGAGGATAGCACATGACACTCCACGGTGGCCCAATGTGGAGGGTATCAACGACTGCAAATGCAGCCGGGACCAACGACTTAACGTACCGTCCGAAGCACAGAGTAGTTCCAGATAATAATTGTTTGATCGCCCATCCCAAAAATCCCTTGCAAAAATTACTTAACAACAACGATTGCAGGCCGCGGCTATTCCACTACACCACTGAACTTTTTCTTATTGTTAGGTTTCAAGCTCAAAATGTGCGAGACATCATTCTATCTACGATGCAAGAGCAGCTTATGGGCCGGCAATATCGTACTGATCAAGCACCGAGATGGGCTAAAGCAATAGCCAATGCGGTTCGGCAGCGGGTTCAAGAATTAGATATGAAAAGGTAAACATTTTTTGGTATCTCAGACACTAGACTAACTATATGTTGTTTTGATACTTTCGTGGTTAGGGTTCCGTAACTCGAAAGGAAAAAACGGAACTCTTACAGGATCACTTTGTTGTCCGTCTGTCCGTCATTCTGTCAAGATTATTTTTCTCAGGAAGGGAATAAAAATTCCCTTCACATGAACTCAGAATCTTGAAATTTGGTACGAAGCAACTTTTTCTAGAATAAATAAAGGAAAATTGCGAAAACCCAAAATTTTTAGTTACATCATATAATAAAATATTTTTATTGTATGATGTAATAAAAATATTTTTATTATATGATGTAACTAAACATTTTTTCGGTTTGTATGAATATTTCTAACAGGTTTGTATGAAACGCTCGGTGCGAGATCCGACATGTACTTGGCCGGTTTTTTGATAAAACGCGATTGCTACCGTGATTCTGATATTTTAAATTCGTTTGATTTACTTTTTTTTTAAAGCTGCATTCTTCTACATAGGAACAATCGTATTTTTTATGTTATTATCTAAGTATATACTCTATCCTTTCAGGTATAAAATTGTAGTTCAAACTACAATACTAGAAATGAAAGGAGCTGGAATTAAATGTGGACAAAGGTGTATCTGGGACCCGGAGACAGATGATTACATAGATGATCTCTTCAAGAATGATACGCTATTTTGTTATACCATAGTTTACGGCATTTATATGTATTGAGTGAGTTGAGTTAGCTCGGTTGGTCTGCGATGCGGAAGTTAAGCAAATTTCCGGCGGGCTGATCATAGGATAGGAGATCAAAAATTGATGATCTCGAGCTCCTCCGTGCTTCGGAAGGCACGTTAAGCCTTTGGTCCCGGCTGCATCTGCAGTCGTTAATACTCACCAGTCCACACTGGGCCCGCTTGGTAATTCACCCATTCTCCCTATTCGACTCCATCCATAGGGAAGTCCTGCGCCTCAGCAGTGGGGACAGTAGGGCGGTGATGATGATTGAATCTAATTGTACACAATAGGAATGGGGGGTTTTCTTGTATACAAATAAAATATTGTGGTGTGAATCATATGAATTTGTTAAATGTAAATAAATATTAATTTTCCATTTTTGTGTTTTTACAATTCTACTATCTTTGTTTATATTTAAAAACTTTAGACAACATTTAAGTTTAAAATACTCCGATGAGCTTTAATGGTTAGCTATGATTTACGTTAATTACAATTATAAAAGTCAGTTAATGATTTTACAAATATATAAATAATAGACAACATTATAGATATTTCTCAGATTCCAAATTAAGCAGCTTAATATCTTGTATTATGGAAATCGTAACAACTTAGGTTCCACAATACTCTGACCCGAAATTATAGACGACTTCATTTTCAACATTGTCCTGTCCGGTTATCGAATCCAGGACATCAGAGATGCCAATAACTTATGAAGCTCGTTTTTTTAAACAGATTATATGATGATTTTGGCACATTAATTACACTGAAGGAAAGCGACGTAAGTGTAGTTACGTAAATAAACCCGCAGATTCCATTTCAACGGCTCTTGAATGTTTGACCGTAAACTAATAAGTAATAAATAATCTTCAAAATGGCGGTACATTAAAAATCTTAATAACTCTACTGATTTATCGATCGGCCTCCTTTTTTGATAATGAAGTCTGCAAAAGTAGTAACCGATTTCATTGTCGAAAAGGATGAAGTTATATGTTAGACGGGTATGTATTTTTTTATTTATTTATGTATATGTTTCTTACTAATTGCGTAATAATTAATGTAAAAGGAGTAATGAGTCTCCTCTGACAGGAGGGGGGGGGGGGGTGCATTTTGCCGATTTGCCACCCTTTAGTTACGCCACTACTTATGGGTCATATTTTTTTTTATCCGATAATATAAACTAATAACCGGTGAAAGTAATGAATATTTTCGGAAAGACCGAAATTGAGTAAGGTGATATATACACTAACTGTAACCTTATAATCTTAGCTTTATTATTAGCTTTTAGTAGAGTTAGGAATCGACAATGCAGTCCAACCAAAGAGTCCAAACTATATTTAAACCTTAAATTACTTTTAAAGAGTTTAAAGCGACTATTTTTAATATCATTTTTCAGATTTACGATTCTTTACAGGTTTGTTGAGAATATATGGAGTAAATCAGTTCAAAAGTAGTTTTATTTAATTAGTAGTGTAGAAAATATAAGAAAACCAGTAATATTACTGCGCCTACATGATATTATACGGCAACGTTTAATTGAAACAATAACACCGGATTTTTTCAGCCCGACTGCGTATGTCACGCTCTGTCAGTCAATTACACAAACGTCCATTGAAATTTTCATTGGTTTAAAGTGACATTACCCATACAATTTTGACATTCATTAGAGTTTAAAGGCGTCATTAGACCTTAAGGGACATTTATGCAACTGACGATGTAAATGTTATAAAAAAAAATATGTTTTCATTAATAAATCGCAGTAAATATTTTAATATCAACGAACCATTAATATCAAAATGTAAAAAGATGAACAATATTAAAAAGGTGGTTAAACGTTCCTTGAAATCGGACGAAGTCTGTTAGCTAAATTAGATATATATTTTTCTTTTATATTTCCAAAGATTTCTTTTCAGAAGTCTTTGTTAGTTTACGTAAACCGCATTACTTTAGAATATTTATTAATGTTCACAATGTTGTACAAGAAATTATTTACGTGCTATACCTACTTACCAATAAGGCTAGTTTTGAATCAAATTATCAGATAGCTTTCCAGAAAAAACTTCATGACTGTACTATTTACTTAAATAAGCAATTGTGATTTGATTTGATCATATACCATAATTTACTGTGCAAACGTGTAGTGAGATATTTTCCTCTATAGATTTGTTAACAAGTAATTTACATGTCTATTATAATTTATCTAATATTGACATGAATATTATGTCACTGAATTAGATCACCATATGTAAGTATATAATTTTATTATATAGTAATATTATTTTGCGTTATTAAACAAATTCGATCTAAAAATTATATGAAACAAGCTTTCCGGCAACGGCTTAGCCCGCGTAGTCCGTAGGGAACTATTTAATGGAATCTCTATTATCATATAGCATGGACTAACATCCATAGGAAGTAGCCTCTATTATCATAAAGCATGGACTAACATCCATGCTCAGAAGTATCCGTATACCAAATTTCATCAAAATTCGTGCAGTAATTATCGCTTGAAGAAGTAATGAACTGTCAAACTTGCAAACTTTTACAAAATATAAGTAAGATGGAAACTGGAAACTCCTCCTAAAAATTTAATTACTTATATTCTTTTCATTTTCAATGTCGTTATTATCGAACTTCTAAAAAAAATTCTGTACGATGTTTTGTCCAGCGATTTTAACCACCGATTTTCAACATTATTTTTTTTTATAGCTGAAGTGGTCCTATAATATTTTATTGAATACATGACTTGCTTAAAGAGGTTTTGCCACTTGTGAACCGTGATTCTACCAGAACCAGACAAGAATTTCTTTAAACAAAAGATATCTCTTCTGAAATAACGGTGGTTTTCCTTGCTTAGAAAGGAACTCGATAAATGTACGAAACTCAATTAATTTAATATTTGTTAATGAATTTAGAAACAATTGAATATCTTACTTGTAAAGACTTGAGCCCTTTAAGAATGTTGGTGTATTGTTGGCACAGGCCACACTGGACCATGAACTCTTTGCAGTCATGTGGAACTGCTACCACGTTGGGGCATGGACGGTCGGAGTCGCACCTGTAGACAATTTTTTAAGGGAGGGTGTGAAGTCAATAAACTCTCCTATCAGCCGTATCTTTCTATTGTCAAGTAAAAGTAATTAGTTGAGTATAAGTAATCAATTATGCACATATATTTTTATCCAATACACGAGAATTTGAGTGATGTAAATCTTTTAATAATTCGAATACTGTTTTTAATAATCACTAGTAAACTATCACGATTATTGTAAAAGTTTGAATAAATAAATATTAGACACGTGACATACATTGCTCAGATTCCATGATGAATAGCTAAAGCCACCGTATTATGGATTATCTGAGGATACAAAGGTGCCATGACAGACACTCGAGATAATATATGTAGAAAAGTCCATTTTCTACATTGACCCGACCGGGATCAAACCCGGGAAACTGAAACCGAAGTGGCTACATAGTTCTCAATCTTCTCCAACAAGAAACAGAAAAAATAGTGAAAAAGTAATTTCTTAGTTAATTAAAGTTTAGAATATAAAATTTACTTATTTTGATTTATTTATTTACATATCTAGTTTAAATTATTATATCTTACGTCAAAAGGCGAAGATACATTTTCAGAGGTTTCCTTTCATGGCAAACAATCTAGGTATTACCTACATACTTACTTGAACCGCATATAATTTTCAGTCATCTCTTCATATGTGGGCCAATTTTCTTTGCACGGTATACAATTGCAGTCAAACCAGTACTGGTCTTTAAGTTGTGCCTGCCTTTTTTGTTTTGGGACTGTAGTGAATATTGGCCCATAGTTTTCAGATACTTCCTCACCTTTCTTTATGTTTTTAACAGCTCTAACTATAACATTAGGCCCGCAAAAATATCTGGAAAATTTAAAAAGGTTTAAAGCGATTTGCTGTTATGAATGACGTTAATTAATTTTGAGTAAATCCTTTCAATCTCGTACCTAACAACACTTGGATCACAGCTGTGATTAAACAAAGCAAGTGTTGGAAAAACTGCTCCAGCCAAAAACACTGATTTCCCACCATGCTTTATTACATTGTGTCCTACTTTGGGTCTTGGACATTGCAATTCGAAAACTTCATGAGCGTTAAATTGGAGTATTTGTAAGTTTTTCAATATCAAGGCACCTAATAGTGCTACGTCTTCCGCATCTTTTTCGTCTACTGCCATAGATTTGAGTTCGTCCATTGTGACCGGTTTTTCTCTCGGTTTTCCGTCAAAATATCCACTGATTTCTAATAATTTCAAAAGAAAAGCTGTCATTTGTGTTCTGTGTAAAAAGTCCAGCTTATTCCTTTTATTTTCGTGAGCTACTAAATGAAAAATATTTTTGTAGTCATCTGTTTTATAAGTTCCGTTTGGTTTAGTGTCTAATTCACTGTAGATCTTAGTGAAATACTCCTTATTGTTTTGTGTGATCATTCTCAAAGCAATTTGGCATGTTATTGAACATCCAGACTTCCATATCAGTGGGAGAATATGGCATTCGTATGCGTGATATGATTTTTGAGCGATATCTAAGCATTTTTCACTGCAGAATATTACATTCGGACAATTTGGACACGGCAAGGGTATGGGGCATCTGAAATATAAATAAAAATGAAGAAAAGAGCTAAGGTGATAAATAATAAACATTTGTAATTAATTTACACTTACTTTACAAAACAATGTTGACAGTGCGTGCTGGCATATTCCCCAAGCAAAACTCCACTATGAGGTTTTTCCACAAGCAGAATTTCTCCGACTTCAATATCTCTAGTAGCCGTTGCAAATCTTCCTCTTTCTTCATCGCAATCTATCTGTATTGCCTCAGAAGCGGCAGGGTATTGAGTATTATGTTTGCCTGGTAACTTTGGTTTCGGAGGTACTTTTCTCAAAGGCTCTGGATCCTTAGGGTTACCGGCCAATACCAGACCTTTGTTCAAAATTTCTAACATAAGTTTGGCGTCAGTTCGCATTTTATGTCTTTTTTCTTTATCCAGTTTATTTGCTTCGTCTAGAGCAGTGATTGTATCTCTGTAATAAAAATCGAAGAATTTAATTTTTAACAAAATCACAGAAGACTTCATTAAAACTAACGGACGCGATTCTTATGACATGTCGAAAATATTGAAAACTTGTCTTCTATTGAAATACTTGTTTTATAAATATTTCAATATTCATAAAACAAGTATTTCAGGCTAGAGTAAATAGGTTCCTTCTGGGTAAGTTCGTCCTACCGTAAATCTAATTCATATCCTTGGGCTAGACTAAGGTCGAGAGTGAGCTCATTATTAATAAAAAAAGAAAAAGAATGTTAGAAGGAAGAGGAAATCGTGACTTAGAAACATCAGAAAGTTAACAGAGGTCCGCTTCACAGAGAATAGAGTTGGTAGTCGGCTGTAATAAGCTAATGGCCTACCATCTAAATGAAGAGACTTTAGGAAGATATCAATATGTAAACGAAAATGTCACTTACTGGAATGCAGTGATGGCTTCCTTATTTCTCTTTAATACTAGAAGAGTCCTAGCCTTTCGCTCAAACACCTTATATCTAAGGTGGCGAGGGTACCCTAGAGATAGGCAGCGTTTAATGTCTGCTAGTGTCTCCTCGTATTGTTCCAAATGATTCAAAGCAGCTGATCGATTCGCAAAAAGTATAGCCAACTCATCAGCTGAAATAAATAGCATTAATAAAATAAGTAACAAAAAAAATTATTAATACCAATATGGATTCGCATAAATGAGGTAGTTATCACATGTCGAGGTATGATACATTTATTTGAGTTTAAATGTTGTCTTATGAATTAAGTATTTATCATAATCATCAATAATTATTAAATTACAATTTGGTATTGCACAAGCAGGCGTCTGGAACTAAAAGGTAGTAACAAAACTCTGTTACATATATTATGTATACCAGGGCCTCAATTTTACTAAAGTTAACATATTAGTAGTGTTTTAATGGCGCCTTAATTACTTGCAATTTGTATTTACTATCTACATGAGATTCAATATGCAATGTCTTCTTTATAAACCAACGTGACAGATATTTTTGATATTTTTTGACTCAGTAAAAAGAACTGTGTCAAAAAAGATTTTTTCTTGAATCTTCATTAACAGAATACGTGTTACTATGGCGCTTTTACAACAAGAAACATTTGGCGCAAATATCTATTTTTCTACGTTCTTGCTTTTGTGTTCAATTGAATCATATATGATAGACAATTTTCACATAATACATATCACTAAAGCTTCCATCGTAATCTATACATAGGATAAAACAAAGTCGCTGACGAATAGTTAATAGGTAGATACCTAATAAAATTACTGTGTGATAGAATGGAACTTTTTTTAACCGACTTAAAATAAGGAGGTTCTCAGTTTGACCTGTATGTATGTATGTATGTTTGTGCGCGATTATCTCGCGTTTGGTTGAACCGATTTTGACGCGGTGTACAGCATAGTATTTGTCAGACTTAGGAGAAGATTTTAGGTAACTATATGAACTGACAAAAAAATGGAGATGCGCACTTTAACACGTGTTTGGTTGAAACGTTTTTGACGTGGTTTTCAGAAAAGTATTTTTATTGTAGTAAGGCGTGAAATAAAAATTCAAAAAAAATGGAACCGACTTCAAACTTAAAAAAAGCGAAAAATAATACTTATCTCAAAAGCGACTTATTCAAGGAAACGCTATTAAAGTCGGGCGGTTCTATAGTATATTTTTATATAATCAATAATAGCGATGTGAAAAAATCTAACACGAAGATGAAAGCATTTAAACTAATTTACATGAACCCAAGAATGGCTCCTACATTTTTTATTCACATGACGTTTGTAGTATAGATAGTTTATAATAAAAAAAACCTGCCAAATGCTAATCGGACTCGCTTTCCGAAGGCTCCATAGAAATAATATATATTAAAAACTACACACTTATATGTTGTTCTATAAACTATAGATAAGAAAATAACTATTTTCTGTTATTAAAAAATAGGCTCATTGGTTTCGGAGATCAGGGGGAGAATGCTTTATATCTATTCATTTTGAAAATATAAATTCAATTTTTACATATTTTAGTTTTCACATTAATCTCTTTCATTTTATAAGTCACTAGCAGTTTTCACGCGACTTTACATGCGTAAATTATAGCCTATAGCAATCGCGTAAGATATAGAGTCCTTGGGCTTTTGGTAAAAGAATTTTCAAGACCGGATCACTAATTCCGGTAATTACGCCCTACAACAAAGTCTGAAACTTTACCTTTTTATATTGTTAGTATAAAAAGGTCACATGATATGGTTTGGAAAACTTTTTTTTATTTGCTTAAGACCATGTTCCATTTCTGGGTCACTGACTTACATACGTGTATCAAAACTTCAATTGGCAAGTTTCCTAGTAGGATGAACGGCCTGATGGACAGTGATCCTATAAGGTTTCCGTTCTTTTGAAGTTCAAGACTCTATACATGAAAACTTACGAAAACATTTACTAAACGACACTGACTTACTTTCTTTGGTTGGCATATAAAGCATGCTCTGGCTATACCAGTAAAGAGCCTTGCCCCAGTCACCTTTCTGGACCGCTTTGTTACCCTCATCCTTCAACTGATGCGCTTTTTCTAAATCTTTTTTTACTGGAAAATTACCACCCGTTTGACATTTCTCAACGTCGCCAGAAATATCATAGTTCTTTATAACAGGAAGACTGCACAAGTAGGATACACGCTTCGAGTTGCATTCTAAATTGGCGAAGTTGTTTCTCGTTACATCGTCTATGTTCTCGTTGATAGTCTCATGGAATTTTCTAAAGAAACCACTGTCGTTCTGTGACATTTTCACTATTTAATCGCGCAGTGAAATTTTCGTATTTTAAGGTTAAAATACTGCATGTGAATACCGGCACGCGTCGGTAGAGCGCGCTCCTGAATTTCTATTTATAAATTGTACCATACCATCTGTATACCACTTCAGTATGATCAGAATCTTGCCTATAGTTACACAGCGTAGTTTCTAGAAAAACAACTGTCCAAAATAGATATAAAATTTGATTAGCTGCATTCATAATTACGATACCAATTTGGTGGTTATATTTTTTGTTCGCCGGAATCAGCGAGGCGAAACGTCGGTCGCAGAAAGCTCTGGAACAATATTACTGGTCCATTAAAGTGTAATACCTGTTTGCGTCAAGTATGTTAGATACATCAAAGTCAAACTATAAACATAATAAAATACGGTGAACCTGCGTCTTTGTTTTTTTGCGAAGAAGTCTAATTATAGTATGGGGTGTAGTTTTTGCGTGGAAATACCCGTTGTTAAGAATGATGTGTCCAAAATTTTGTACGTCCAAAGAAATTAATTGAAATTTATATATAAAATCTTTATTGTTGGAAATAGCCTGTTTTTGTATAAGTTAATTAAAATTATGATGTCATGTCATGGCTATGTTGTCATGTGCAATTTGACTTTGATAAGATAAATGTTGAAAACACTTTTTCAATGTATATTGATAGCTGTCAAGTCATTAGAATGATGAAATTCTAATTATTTTTTCAGAAAAAATCCGCAAATTAAAAAACGTCAATTCGATGTTATGATCTTGCGTTCATTCTTCATTACAGCCAAAACTAATGCGTACGACAAGACAAGTATACAATTAAAGGCAATGATTAAAGGTGTATCGAATAGGTTATAGTAAAGTTATATTTTAACTTTGAAATTACGTAGATACTTGATAATTATAAAAATTCAAATGTACCCAATATTGGGTCTTGATAGATAAAAATCATAATATATGTCACAGAAAAGAATTATATTTTCAGTGCAGAATTTAAAATTAAAATAATAAAGTAAAAGAAAAGATGATGATAAATTGATATATAAGAGATATTTTTCTATAGAAATTACATGTATATTACTACCAAGGAGTACTCATATTTTTTTTGTTAAAAGGGGCATGTAAAGCAGAAAGACTTATGTCCATCTCATTGACTCTCATTGAGATAGACAAGGACAGGTGATGGGAATTGCGCGTAAAAATGGTTTTAATGTAATAAACTAATAACTAATAACTCGCGAACTATTATTATTATAAAAGTGCCATATAATTCTCTCGGCTGCAAAGTGATTTACATATTGCACTATTTCCGCTATAGAAAAAAGGCTAGAATTACAAGAACTGGAAAAAAAATGTAATTTTTTTCTATAGATAAAATTTTAAACCGTTTCGGATGTAGCAGGACCCATAGAATTATAATATTTAGACCCTTAGATAAATTTTATCAATTTTACATTTACAATTCAATACTGAAAAATGCTTAAAATTCACTTTGTCCCATCTCAGAGTGCTAGGGAATTCTAGCTTATTTGAATGTTATATATTTACGCAAAACCAGTTGAAAATGTTAAGTGAGTGACGGATGAACGCGTCCTCATAAACAATACCTAAAGTCTAAAAGTTCCCGCTAATCAGATAATAAAAAAAACTAGTACTAGGTCGTTCACGGTTTGTGATGTTGACAAATTCCCAGTACAAGCCGTCTCTTAGACTCGTATCTGTAGTCGAGAGAAGTAATTACTTGAGATTATGTTATAATCAGAGGTCGAAATTAGGTAGAGTTATTTATGTACTTGCATCGAAATGTTGATATTAATGTGGACCTTCCCGAGATTTCTAATGGACAATCCCGTGTGGCCAACAATCTTACAACTAAATAATAATAACAACGTCAGAGATAGACAAATAAAACAAAGATAATTAACATAATTTTTTTATTAGTTTACATTAATTTACAATACAAATTATTGATAGTCTTAGCAAATTTTGGACATCCGATGTCATTGATGTAAGTTTGGCAACGTCGTGCGTGCAGTAGTTTAAATTGTGTAAAATAAATAACTTTTTATTTAAAAAATCACGGGATTTTTATTGCTCTTTAAAATTAATCTCGCGATTTGAGGCATATCCACTTTATTCTTTCGCTGTATGAAATCAGTGTAAGTACATGAATAACTCTACCTAATTCCGACCACTGGTTATAATTTAAACAATTATTTTTACCAAAAAACAAGAATTTTAATGAAGTAAGCACTGTTAATAGTTAGAATACTATTAAAATTAGCTATTAACATTTCTTAATTTATTCAAGTTCTCGTCTACTAGGTATAAATATTTGCTTAAAGTATGACATGTTCTTAAGTAATTACTTCTCTCGACTATAGATAGGACTGTTAGCGAATGACAAAGATATTCCGCGAACTCGTATCTTAATTAACTACGACGATATCTGATACATTATCATTTCTTTGGGGCTTGTGATTTATAAACAACATAGTCATAGCTCAAAGAAGTTCTGCGAATACTCAGAACTTCTTTAAGCTTTGACTGTGTTATTCAAAGGGTGACCTCAAAGAGTTCTATGTGAAAACCGCTTAGTTTTTGTACATGTCGTTAGGCACTCGTATGATGAAAACAGAGATTTAATCAAATTGCAGTAGATGTTAAAATAACATCTCGATTTTAACAAACAAATCTAGTGATTTTCAACAATTACATTATTTAATATTAGTGATACTATTCCATATTTGGTTGGTTACTTTACATGTTGCACCGCTACATAAAAACTGCGTAGATAGATAGATAACTCTTTATTGTTAATAATACGCTATAACAAACATAAATGAAACTTAATCAATTTGCATAACAATTGGCGGCCTTATCGCTTAAAGCGATTTGTTCCAGGCAACCTGTGGATGGAGAAAGAGATAGTCATTATAACGAAGACGGAGGTGTGAACAACATTATTTAAGACATACAATTAAATGCAACAATGAATATAAACACACACAAACTACAAACCTAGAATAAATATATATATGAATATGATCGTATACATCTACATATATTTACTACATATGTAAAAAGTAAGTGCAATCAAAAGGAATTTCAAGAGCTAATTTGTCCGATGATCACAATGCATGTGAAAATTGACCGATCTTTGTGATAGTTTTGGTAACGGGAGTTAAACAAAATGTTATAATATGAGACGTTAGTATATGAGAATTCCAGCGAACACGTATAGCAACCACTTGAGCTCTGTGCGATACTGGGAAACATGGTCATATTTGCGCAAACTAAATATGAACCAGATACAAAAGTTTTAAAGTCGCTCAAGTTTATTGAGCTGGTCCTCCGAAAGATTAAGGTAACAGGCGTCGGCATAACCTAGGAAAGGAAGCAGCAAAGTTTAGCGTATTACTCATAGAACAAGAAAAAAAGGTATTACTTAAGTGCAATGTCACTATTTATAAAGCTGCAGAGTTTATTTGTTTGTTTGAACTCCCTTATCTCAGGAACTACTGGTAAGAATTGATATTTTTTTTTGTGTTGAATAGCCAATTTATAAAGGAAGAATATATGCTATATAACATTACGCTATAAGGAATAGAAGTTTAGTAGCAATGAAAAATGAGCTTTCTTTGCGTGTGTTGCGTAAACGGTGAAAGGTACAAAATTGATCCCCTTTAAAAGTTATAAGCAAAAGGCAGCGACAGCATATGTCTATCTTATATCTTATACCGAAAAAAGGCACATAAAGCGATGAATGTTTTGAATAAAATAAATCGGCAAACTCGTTGTTGATAAAACAGGGCACAGAAAGACGTTAGAAGAGCCTTGTGGGCGTGGCAGCGTAGCCTCAATCCTGGACAAATGTACAGGATCATGACTTCACCACGCGATCGCGATGTTTAGTCATTCACGAACGCGCGCGCTGTATGTACTGTGAAACACGCCACTAAAAGTGATAAAAATGCCGGCTTTCGCAGTTATTAATTCCAAAACAAGAAGCCACTCCTCAAGTAGGTAGATAGGAGAGATTTCTCTTCATTAGTAAGTAGAACACTTCTCTAATTTAGTATTTTAGTCGAAATTCGTGAAATGTTATCAAAAGTGTGAATCACAAAAAATATTTCTAAGAAAATAATACATTGCTGGAAAAGTACCCATATTTATTACATTGCGTCGTACTAAGCATGTGATGTAAAGAACATCGTAAAATCAGTAACATAATAAATAAAAATGTAAAATGGAAAGAAGAGCAATTGGATTATTCTATGAAGACATGCGCGTTATATACAGAAAAACCGGTAGATTTTCTATAATTGGTTCCATCTATTGGGCACGCCTGTGACCCAGTGGTTGGAACGTGGATAAGCTAATTATGTTGATATAAAAGATGGTATCTCTCTGGCAGATTTTTATTTAAGATTAGCATGAGACTCCAGTACAGCAGGCCAGTGTGCACAGAGTGCCTTCGGACCACATGGACAAAGCCGCGGATTAAAACTAGTGGGTACAGCTAGTAAAATAATAATGTAGACAATTATCGCACTGGGCGATACATAGCGATCTCTTAACAGGTTTTGAACTGTAAGCTGCAATTTATTAGAATTATCACAGCTATTAAATACTATAGAGTAATACCTACATTACATTCCAATCATTAGTTTCCACGTAAACAAAGGAAATATTTAAAAAATAATATGAACAATTACTCATATTTTCTTGATTCTTGGAAGACACTGTTATTTTACCTCTACTTTACCAAGCAATCATTAACTTAATTCAAGAATTTATTCAAATTAAAAATATATATTAGCTTACATTTATTATTGAGCAAATTAAAAAGTTTTGTACTGATAATTACAAAAGAGTTGAATTTTTTGAAAACACAATTTCAGTTACAACATTGTTGCATAACAAATTAATATTTAAAACACAAATAATATTTATATTAAACTTTTTTGTGAATCTTGTTTAGCGACATGAAGAAAGATGTGATTGTTTTTTTGAATCAAATGGACTCCGAAAGTACTGGACCGATTTTAAAAATTCTTT